TAAACCAGTAGTAATCAATTAATTAACCCTCTCGAGAAAAATTCAAGTCAATGGCGTCACTTTTTGAATGGAATTCATGCATGGCGCGGATATTGGGAATTTAATTTTGTCTCTTGTAAAGTTCGCGAGAAACATGATGATGTCACTGGTTTTCTCTAAAATTAACTCCCTACCTCTAAAAGTCCTCTCAAAACGCAGACAGCAATGGAGCCAGTCAAGCCAAGTAGAGATAAGGAGCGAATTAATTTTCGGAATTGCCATTTTACTTGAGGACTTCAAATGTCGAAATGCTGATTCTTTAGTCTGCAACTACGGCAACTCTGCTGATGTACTAAACAGAATAGAATGAGAGTTTGATAGAATTTCAGAATTTCTCGGTATTACGGCCTCATCTTCGAGAGTTTTTTTGACATTATCATTGAATTTAATTTTATATAAATCAGTCGCACAATAATGTCTCTCACAAAATATCATGAGTAAGATGGTTAAGTCGCAAATTCTCGCTGCGTGCAACATTTCCGTCTAAGTTAATCAATCTTCCTAAATTTTCCGGTCAGGAACTATCGTTTTTAATTTAATTTTTCATTGTCACGGAACTGTCGCAAAAAGTCAAGAGAACACGTCGACAAAGGAACGAATTTAAGCAAAACTAGACTCAGTGCAGTTCCCGCGTTAACTAATTCCTTCTCATTTTTCATTTCGTCACAGGAACACTGGAAAAATAACACATTGGATAGTCTGACGTGCTAAGTCATAACGCAGTATGAGCCATCAGGCGTTGCCGTATTCTATAATTCACGAATTTTCAGGAAAATTTGTGAATTTTTATCCTCCACTTGTACTTAAAAAAGATTACGTTCGTAGTTTGATCTAGAAAGTCTGAAAATATCAAGGGGAAATATTCACAACTATCTTCAAAAATAAATATTTTCGAAGGAGAAATTTGGCAACATTCGAATGCTTATACGGCGTTTTAACTCAGTATGGCAGTAGTGCACACCTGGAAACACGGTGATGTACAATTCAGCAGGCGCAGTGTAAGCAATTTGCACATCGGATCGTAGGTGAAACGGTGTAGCGTTTGAATGATCTACACGATGTTGAAGGCGCTATGTCGGGTGGGCGCTATGGATTGCCCGTGGTAATCCGATTCGCGGCGTCAGTGGATTGAAAGTGCATCACTTTAGCCGAAATCTCCGAAAGTGCTTTGTATTTTATGAAAAATATATGAACTACAGCTGTCACACTAATTTTTGTGCACACTGGAAAAAAAAACCACATTGGATCTAGAGTCCAGACTCTTGAAAAGATTGACAAGAAAAAATACTTTTGATTCAATCGGATTTTTGCTTGAATCAAAACGAAATCCGCTTAAATTAAGAGGCTTGGTTCTTGATATAAGCTAGATTCTGATTGAATCAAGAGTACTTTTTCTTGTCGATGTTTTTAAGAGCGGACTCAAGATCAAATGTGTTTTTTCTTCCAGTGAAAGCTAGGCAACCAAATGCTTTGAAACGTTCTGCAAGCTCCTTCTGTCCGAGTATTATAACATACTTACAAATTATCAGGTCTGAGTTTCGTCGAGTTATCTTGCAAAGAATTAAAACATAAGAAGAAAACAGCCAACTCTCGATGTAGTCATGTTAATGTCGTCCAAATTTTATGAAATTCCTGGATCTGGCACGCTTAAGTCAAGACTCCAAAGCTTCATTGCGTCAGTTGAAAGAGGAAATAAAAAATAAATACTTTCCGCAAAGTCTTTAAAAATTCTAGTAGCTAATGTGCGAATGCACGTCATTACTTCTAACTGAAATGCATGCTCATTACTCTGCCTTGCTATGCAAGAACGCCGTATAGGCCATCAAGCGTTGCCAAATTTCCTTCAATAAATCATGAATTCTCAGGAAAATTTGTGAATACTTCTTCTTCGATTTTTCGGAAGATATTTTCGTAATTCGAGCTAAAAACTCTGTAAATTTCAAGGAAAATTACTCATAACTTTTTTAAAATTTAATATTTTTGGCGAGAAAATTCGGCAACATTCGAATGCTTTTGCGGCGTTTTTACTCGGCACGGTAATACTGTGTCGAGGAAAAAAACCGTATAAACACTCGAATGTTTCCAACTTTTTCCCGATAAAATATAGGAATTTCATACCAAACCGATGTATTTTTTTCTTGAGCTTTTTCAGGAAATGTCATTCGCAATGCAACGTAACGTTTCTGAAATTTTTAAGGCGAAATATTCATGATTTTCTCAAAAATCAATAGTTTATGCTAAGAAATTGTCCAAGGATTAAGGATTAAGGATTTTTTTTTTTTTTTTTAAATCTAAGGCTCATTCGTCTTTTTTCCTTGAGGACGGCAGCAAATTCCTCAATGACGCCCCACTAACTTAAAATAAATCACATTTTTAAATCCGATAATTTGTTTGCCTCGCCACTCGAGCACCGGTAGTAATTTCCGCGACGTGTGCGATAGTCGCTACTGTCAACGTCAAAAAGCAGGCTTCTTTTTCCTTGTGCCCGAGTCACAGCGAAAAAAAAGGATCTGAGTCAATGACCATTTCTGCGCCATGTTTTCGTTTAAATTTGCATGCTCGCGCGACTAATTGTGTGTAAAAGCGGCTTATTTGTACCTGATCGGAACTCGCGCAGGACGCAAGCTACATTTCCGGAGTTTCGATTGCTCCGGGTGAAGATGCTCGTGCAAAGCGGGGAAAAAATATTGAGGAAATCCATCGAAAAATTATTTTCTGTCACCCGATGCCCAGTCCGACCTCGTAACCTCGCGTTAAAGTACCGACGAATGAGGAAAATTCACTCTTGGTTGCAATCACTCAGTGGTGAGGCATGAATGATCGATCAGCGGTATTTCTCCATTTGTAGTTATGGTAAAGAATCGATTATTGAGGTGTTCGTTGCGAACCCTTGTTTATCGAACCTTTTACATAGATTTAAATGGCACACCAATCGAAAGCACGCCACTCCACTGTTGCAATCACTTTCGTGCACAACCGCAGGAAGGCCTGGAGCATTCTTTTGTCTCACTTTTTCCTTTCGCTTTGAGATTTTTGCCTCCTTAGCCGTATTTCTGTATGAAGAAAGTCGTATGAGCCTGATGGAGTTGCCAAATTACCTTTGAAACTGACGAATACGACAATCTTCTTTTTTTACAGAGACTTATTATTTAAAAGAAAAGTGTAAGGAATCCTTTACTCCCCCCCCCCCCCCCCCAATATGTATCGAGGTATATTTGGCAACTATCGAATTTTCATATGTGTTTTTCACGAATAGCGCAAAATCAATTTTAGACAAGAGGTCCCGGAAAATTGGCTATTTTTATAAGAACCATCCACGTTATCATGCTATAGCTGATTAAGAAACAACGTTAAAGGGGCGTGATTACCTTTGGCGAAATGGAAATAAAGCGGGATCTTACATTTTGTCAAACGCAACCATGTGCCAACTGAATGCGTCACTTATGGACCATGGGCATGTGACAAAAGCGTTGTGGACAGGGCTCATGAGCCTAAGGGCACCTTGGCCATGCTGCCGTGGTAAGGAAAAACGCCGTATGAGCCTTCAGGCGTTGCCAAATTTCCCCCGGCAAATCACTACTTTTCAGGAAAATTTTTGAATATTTGTCTACCAATTTCTCAGATAATTTTGTTTTTAATTTGATCTAAAATATCAGAAAATGCCAGTGAAAATTATGCATAATTTTCCTCATAAACACACATTTTAGCGAAGGAAATCTGGCAACTCTCGAATGTTCATTCGGCGTTCTTCCTTAGCACGGCAGGATGGGCGACCGCGACAGCGCGGCGGCTTCGTCGCTGCTGACGTCACTGGCGCTTTGTAATTCCCTTTCATTCTTACGGCCCGCGACTAACGAGCACACCCCTTCTTTTCCACCTGTCTCAGGTTCCGTTTGGCAGAAATACGCACTGGAAAAAAAAAAACACACACACACACATTGGATTTAGAGTCCAGACACTTGAAAACATTGACAAGAAAAAATACTCTTGATTCAATCGGATTTTTGCTTGAATCAAAACGAAATCCGCTTAAATTAAGAGGCTTGGTTCTTGATTTAAGCTAGATTCTGATTGACGGCAGTAGTGTACACCTGGAAACACGGTGATGTACAATTGAGCAGGCGCAGTGTAGGAAATTTGCACATCGGATCGTAGGTGGAACGGTGTAGCGTTTGAAGTATCTACACGATGTTGAAGGCGCTATGTTGGGTGGGGGCTATGGATTGCCCGTGGACGTGGTAGTCCGATTCGCGGCGTCAGTGGATTGAAAGTGCATCACTTTAGCTGAAATCTCCGAAAGTGCTTTGAATTTAATGAAAAATATATGAACTACAGCGGCCACACTAATTTTTAGGCACACTGGAAAAAAACACATTGGATCTAGAGTCTAGACTCTTGAAAATATTGACAAGAAAAAATACTCTTGATTCAATCTGATTTTTGCTTGATTCAAAACGAAGTCCGCTTAAATTAAGAGGCTTGGTTCTTGATTTAAGCTAGATTCTGATTGAATCAAGAGTACTTTTTCTTGTCGATGTTTTTAAGAGTCTGGCCTCTAGATCCAATGTGTTTTTTTCCAGTGAAAAGAATAGTGTGAAAATGAGTTAAATTGACACAGGAAAAACAAATTTGCGTCGGAGGCACATCGCGCTTCTCTGAAGTCAGGGTGTCTACCGGTCCCCAAAAATCCCCGATTACCCCCGATTTTTGAAGGGTGTCTCCGATATCCCCGAAAGGCCCCAAAAAATGACAATAGTCACCCCAAACACTGGCATTTTTATATTTTCCCGCCAGTCGGAGGGGCGGCGCGGTATATCCAGGAATGAAAAAAACTGAAGTGTTGCTTGGTTTTTCATATCTTTTCATCGGTTCAACATGAACAACATTTTTTTTTCCAATGCGTCCAACTCTTTTCACCCCCGAATGGAATTTGATGGAGGGTGCATTGATTCGTGTTTCAGATATTCGAGCGGATGAAGAAGGAGGTGCCGGCGTACCTGGAGCGGGTGGCGGCCATCTCCGGGGACTGCATGCTGCCGATGTGCGGGGTCTCGAGCAAGGACCAGGAGCTCATGAAGCGGGAGATCAACGTCGTCTTCCACGTGGCCGCCACCGTCCGCTTCGACGCCAAGATGCGCTTCGCCGTCAACATCAACATCCGAGCCACCAGGGACCTCCTCACCCTCTCCAGACAGTTCGATAATCTCAAGGTTCGTCCAAACTTCATTATATACAGGGTGATCCAGAGTTGAACAGCCAGACTGCAGGAGCCGAAACACCCCCGAACCCTCTCTTTGAATTAAGATATCGATTTTTTTTCTCCACTTTTCTTTTTAGTTATTATTGCTCGTTATTTGTTCTCATATCTTTATCATCGTTTCAGTATTTTCCTTTATTCCTCTCGTGATGGGATGCCGAGGTACGCGGTTAGCCTAGTTGCCTTCGGTTCTGTCCCCGAGATGATCCTCTTTCTTTCCTTTCAGTTATTTCTCTCGTTTTCTCCTTCTCTTTTTCACGGTCCTCCGAACCCTCTCTTTCACTCCGTCTACGGACGCGACATTTATGAATTCAGGACATAAAAGTACAGGGGAGTTCAAATTTACATGAGATTTGGTTCACAACCGTTGCCAAAATTCAGGAAAAACGATTTACTCTCCAAAATTTTGGGGGACCGTAGCTCCAACTACAGGCACTGTGGAAAAACTTCACTGGTATTATAATCGGAAAATTTTCTCAGTACTTCTAAAGAGCCTTTACTACGAATCAGACGCAATTAAATCAAAAGGAACTATATCCATTACAACATGAGCCTTGTCACGAATGTGCTCTTGTGGATCTCAAGGCTCACGTCAGAGTCTCATTTCAATATCAATTTCACCATGTAACGCCGTTTGCTGGTTTTTATTTTCATTTATTTTTTATTTTTAATTTTTCAGCAGTTGATAATGGTTCCGCAAGGTACCGAAACGTCCTGCCTTTGTATCTTGTATTTTAGCCTTGTTTTCGCATTTTCCTGTGTTTTCGATTGTCGTTTCGGTTTCGGGATGCTTTTACATTCTCTTTGTTTTCCACCATCAGAATGGATACAGTTCCTTTTGATTGAACTATGCCCAATTCTCACTCGATGGATGTACTTGCGAGTCAGTGGAAGGACTTAACATTTTTAAAAGTGCGGAGGTTCACCGCCAAAATGCTTGATTTCCGACGTCCGAGAAAACTGGTTGCCTCGAAGCGGTCAAAGTAGACCAAGAATCCTGCTTCCTGATTTCGGATCCGAGCCCCGAGTGGGCACCACCGCGAAAAGGCCCGCGCAAGTCATATTCAATTGTCGAGACGACAAAAAACCGCATTCAATCGTGCCCCGCATAACTCACGTTGCCAGGTTTCCATCGTGGGATTTTACTCGTACACGGAGATAAAAACTTAGTGCGTGGGACCCGAAGTTGAGGTCATATGGATCTCTGAAGTTTTCCGATCACGTATCTAAAAACTTGAGGTCCAGCTGCCGAAGTTCGGGTCAGACATCTGAAGTACCTACTTCAATATATACCGAAAGGTTTGGGTCACACATCTGAAGTACTCCGGTACATGCCGAAGTGCCTCGATGCCTGACCCGAACTTCGTTAGCTCGACCTCAAGTTTTCGGATGCGTGATCAGAAAACTTCAGAGATCTATATGACCTCAACTTCGGTTCCCATGCACGAAGTTTTTTTCTCCGTGTGGGTCAGCCTAGGGTTCATTTTTTAGTGAGAGTTAAGTCTTTTGGAATCCATTTCTGATCAGTTGCTGGAGTCCACGCCAAGTAAACTTACGCACTCAAGTACTGTAGTAACTACAAGTTACAGATCTTCTGACGTTAGTTTAGTATGGAAGGTAAATGCAAGGATTAAGATGGCTGGCTATTCTTCTGTCGCAGTATAAAAGTGCGTAATTTTATTTGGAGTAGACTTTACTATGAAGCCACAGGATTTTTCTGAGTCGAATCTCGTTATAACGTTTGCGAAAGGGGCATTGAAAAAATAACGGTGTTTTCGGAAAAACGTTTCGTCAGGAACTTGAAAAAATGGACGTTCAAGAAACGTTATAACGAGACACGACTGTTTTACTTGTTCACTTCTATTGCAACGACTATATGAAGGAATATAACTGGGAATGCGTAATTTCCTTCTCGAAAGAGGTAAATACATTCCTGTGTTAGGACTTGCATTCAATGATCAACTATATTTATTGTTCGTTGATATCAAGGGATTTTTCGCACATCCGTGCTCACGGAGCTAAAAAGTCACCGGCTGTGTAGACTTTCCGCCCGTCCGGGCTCAGAGGCCGAAAGTTCTAGGTGCTGGAGCCGTAGCTTCGATTGATCCGGGTGCTACGCCCAGAACTTTCGGCCTCTGAGCCCGGAATTAACGCGGACGTTATGACTGTACAGCTCGTAAGTTACAGCTTCCACGGCCGGAGTTTTTTTTCTTCAGTGTGACTGGCCACTGAAAGGTCTAAAAATAAAATATATCGGTCAAACCGAGAACATATTGCGCAATAATTGGACGTATTTCTACCAAACAGACCTATGTGGAGGTGAGAAATATGGGGTGTGCTCGTTAGTTCTCTGGCCGTAAGAGTGAATGGGAATAATAAAGCGCCAGTGACGTCAGCGGCAATGAAGGAGCCGCAGCGCGGCGGAGAGATCGTTGGAGGGAGTCTTTAACTCATGAGCCCTGTCCATAACGCTCTCTTGCCATCCTCGCGGCTCATGAGATCCTCATTCAGTTGGCACATAGGTCTGTTTGATAGAATGCAATATCCCGCTTTTCCAATTCTTCAAAAGGAACCACGCCCACTTTTACATTGCTTCTTATACAGCTTCCTAGAGCACACCCCATGTTTCTCACCTCCGCATAGGTCTGTTTGGTAGAAATACGTCCAATTGAAGATCTGCCACAACTCTCTCCCGCAAAGAACCCTAAACGAAGCGCGTAATGTTATTTTTGGGAAATTTGGCAGCGGGGCTGGGCGGATGCGGGTGACATTGAGAGGGTCGCGACACTTGCGGGTGATTTATCCGCGACGTGAGAGTGAGACGTGAGGAGAGAGCCGAATAAACGACTCCAAAAACCGCCGACCACAAGGGGACAAGGCACAACGGCCAGCGGCAGGAGGAGTCACTGCCACTCGGCCGAGTCGCCGCTCGCTCAACACAAGACAGGATCAAGTTCAGGACCTTGTCGCTGCCTCCGGAAGGCCTCTCAGGCCGCCAAGCTCAAAATTACACTTCTTCGTCCAATTCTAAAAATCCCTTATTCATAGCTTCGGATCTCTCTGATGTTTTCGGATCACGTATCTAAAAACTTGAGGTCCAGCTGCCGAAGTTCGGGTCAGACATCTGAAGTACTTCGAAATATATCGAAAGGCTCGAGTCACGCATCTGAAGTACTTCGGCACACGCCGAAGTGCCTCGATGTCTGACCCGAACTTCGGCAGCTGGACCTCAAGTTTTCGGATGCGTGATCAGAAAAGTTCAGAGATCCATATGACCTCAACTTCTGATCCCATGCACGAAGTTTTTCTCTCCGTGTTTAAGGGAACACTTCAATGACGCTGTAGTATATGAAAAAGTTGCAAATCTATCCTTAAAATGACAAAAATGGCGGAGTTTTCTCTCCGTTCTGCAAAATCGGCAGTTTGCAGATAGGCGGTATTGTTCGTTAGCTATCGATAGACAATGCGAAAGATAGAGGAGATGAAGAGAAAATGGGTCGATCGTATCGGTGGTGGCGGAGGTTGCCATGGATAAAGGAATTAAATAATAGACTAGCTAAACTAATTGAGAACATCATACTTACTATTTCACATTTTATAATTACAGCTCATTTTATAGTGAGGTCAAAAGTTTGTTTTTATGTACCATTACCATTCTTTGAAATATACCGGATTAACACTCTCCATGCACAATTTCATTCACGTTCACACGTGTTCAGTACAAGTATTAAGGATAAGTATTCAGTACAAGGATCAAGATAAGAGAATAGAGCTTCTAGCCGGCAACATGGTGTCGTGTGTCCTCACCGCAAAGCGACGCGCAAATTGCCAGTGATTAGCCCATATGGTTTTGACAAGGCGAAAGATGGGGCAGTTCCGCAAGTTTGATTACTCTCTCAGGGTTTCTTTCCCGTACTTTAAGAGCTCTTCCTTTCCCACCGAGATCAAACAACGAAATTAAGACGAGGGTCTAAGATGAGAGAAAATTAAACACATTTCCTCCGCTGGCATCCACGGGTTTAGCAAGTTTCCCCCAAATCGAATCTTTTGTTTACAAATATTACTACAGCCAAATTCTGAAGCCCCTGCGGGTTGATAGTTGAAATTGATGATAAAGTTATAGGCAAAGAAGACAAAAAGGATATGGAGGGATCCTATTGGTGGCAGCGAGTGGTTGCAGTAGAAAAAGGAGTTAGATAATAATAGACTAACTAACGGCAACCCACAAGAGACCCTTTAGTTAGTCCATCACTTTCTCCCCTTAGTCTATGAGAACCACCTAAATTAACCAAAAGGGTCGCTCCATACTCATTATGTCCTCTTTGTTTATAGCTTTGCCTGTACTAATTTAAAGAAATCAGCCTGCAGATTGCGAAAGAAACTTAGATCAGTATAAGGGAACTGAGGCCTGCGAGTCTTATGCGCTTAAGTCTTTCTTATTTAATTCATTTTTGCAGGTTTATCTGGGGTTCTATTCACCAAGAATACCCTCATGTTGCATTTCAATTCAAACGCATGTAAAATAATCGATTTTCGTCGAAGCAGGTAGTCTCTTCTGGATTCAATTATTTACAAAGGATTTAAATGGAAGATATCTACTATTGCCAGTTTCCCTGTGGTATGCCCTCCTCACTATGATGGCTAGACTAAAACTGATCTTTCCACCTACAACAGGAACAAGAGCAGCCATAAATTCTTGGTGAAAATTGCGACTAGGTAACGACTCTAAAGTGAGGTTTTAAAAAGCGTAACAAAGCTACAAGTGAAAAAAATTGATAAGGGGCAAAGTAAACACCGCCTCCGATTGATATTAGTATAGGACGCTCGACAAATTAGTACACATGATTTCTCTATTAGTTGTAGTAATGATTTGTTGGTATAAGGTTGCCCGTAATTATGTACTTTATTCTTGCTGTGATTGCAGGCTTTCGTGCACATCTCAACAGCTTACTCCAACTGTTTGAACAGAGTCATCCAAGAGTGCTTCTACGATCCGCCTTTCTCAGGGTCAGCCGCGATTAGCCTTGCTGAAAAATTCGACGATGACATGTTGGAGAAAATGACCCCAGCGTAAGTACCTTCAATCTTTAGCCAGTGCTGTAACTGAGGAGTTATTTGCAGGGAGTCCGTATGGTGCTGTGCTAAGGAAAAACGCCGTATGAACTTTTGAAACTTGCCGAATTTCCTCCGATAAAATGTTGTTTTTGGAAGGAAGTTATGCATATTTTTTCTAGAAATTTTCAGTTATATTAGATTAAACTGGGAATAATGTTGCCTTAAAAATTGGAAGAAAAATATTCATAGCTTTCCCAGTAAATTCGTATCTTATCAAAGGCAACTTGGCAACGCCCGAAGGCTCATACGACGTTCTTCCTCATCATGGCAGTATGGTGCTCTGTGGAGTTTCCGAGGACAGCGCATATCGACGGAAAAATTACCAGATCTCGTTTGCGGAGTATAAAAATTTCCGCTCCCATTTTATTTTTTTGAAAGAGAACAAATTATTGTCATTCCTTGAAATTTTCATAGACCCCGAAGCGACCCTTCCATCTGCTTTTTGTGTGTGAGATTCGGTCGCCAATTTTTTGTGTGTTTTTGCTCTTAGTCACATTTCTAGCTATTGCGTCGTTTTCATTATTCAGATTCCGGCGTTCATAGTTATATAATACTTTTCGATTCTCGTCAATTTTGCCACAGGAAAGGAAAGCAGAAAAACAGTCTTGTGAAAATTAGAAACTTTCAGCAGAAAGTATTATGTTGAGGAGACAGACTTGGTGACTAGGGTTCATGGAGATAGTTTAGAGCCAAACCAAAAAAAAAAAAATTGTAAAAAACTTAGACTACACAGAGAGGAATTTCAACCCAAAATTTTGGTTAATACGGGAAGTAAAACACAAAATAACCCTAGCCCTCTGTTGACAATTTCTTCGGACGGGAACAGGTTACTTTAGCGCTGTGTCAGTTCCCCTTCAATTTTTAGTGTAGGCAACGCGGGCTCCCACGTGGTTAAATAGTGGTATCCACCGTAAACGTCAAGGGTGGCAAACAAGAAGAAAGACTCAATGTGATTTTGTCACACTGATCCCGATAATGCCATCCAATGCTGTTTCCTGCCAATTGGACGACATTTGGGACTGCATTTTGTTATTAAGAACTACAATTCTGGCTCAGTTTAGAAACAGCGTGTGTACCATTAGTTTCTCTATGCACGTAAGTATTTATACGAATTAGCCGAAACTCGTAGTTGTTGATGACAAAATGGGTGTATTTATGCCAAAAGGAACTATGTGCATAGGATTTGCGTGGTTCCTTTTATCATAAATACGTCCAAATGTAGTCCATTTTACAATTGAGGACTACAGCTTCTAGTTCGTCCATAAAAACACGCATGTGCGTAAGGAAAGTAATGGTACAAACTTTGTTCTTAAACTGAACCGGCAATTTTAGTCCCTAATTACAAAATGCAGTCCAATTTCGGAAAAAGCCACCGTGCTATTTAAACCGCGTTAAGCAGAAAGGGACCAAGCCACATCAGTGTTTGCCAAATTAAACTGAGCAACTTAATTTTTTTACACTGAAAAAAATTCTTGGCGTTTTTACCAAGGTCCATTTGTACCTTTACCATCTCACTTTTTTTTACCAAGACAGACTGGTAAGCTTACCTAAAAACCGGTATTTTTACTGTTTTTTTTTTCAGGTAAGAATACCACTTTTATTGGTAATCAGTTTCCGGTATCTTTGCCATTTTATCTCGGTAATTCCACCACAGTCGATAAAAAATATTGGCGTTTTTACCAAGGTCCAGTAAAATTACCGAGAAAGTTCAATAATTTTACCGAGATTTCTCGGTAAAATTACCAATTTCATAAATGGTAATTTTACCAAGAAAAAACTGGGATCAAATAGAACCCTGAATTCTTGGTAATTTTACCCTTTTCTTAGTAAATACACCGAGATTTTTTTTTTCAGTGTACAAGAGAACATTTGTGCGGATTCCTTTGAAATTTTTGAGAAATTCGCTTCGTACTATGTAGAAAATTTACTAAAATTTGCAGAAAAATCATTTTCATGTAAGAAATTTAATTGCCCGATTAAATTTAGCAATAGCTGATGTGTTTTGGTTCCTTTTTGCCTCACGGTCCATTTATTTAAGAGATATTTTATGGAGAGTTGTCAATTTTCCTTCATTTTTTCAGATTGCTGGGATCGTGGCCGAACTCATACGCTCTGACCAAGTGCATAGCCGAAGAAGTCGTCCGAGAAATGGGCAAGGGTCTACCAGTCGCCGTCGTCCGTCCATCTATAGGTACATAGATCACAATACATCTTATTTTCATTACTCTAATTTAATCAAGGAGGAAAAGTGGGTTCGTGACTCTATAGGCGAATTTCCGCGAGTGGATTTAGTCGACTTTTTCAACCAATTCGGTAAGGTTGCAAACCGAAAGAGAAAAAGGCTCTCATGCAGACATGAACGAAACTCAGCTGATTGATGAATTTTGGCCAACGTTTGCACTCATCCACTTTTCAGCCCACCAATGAGAACCATCTGGAATATCTTCCATCGTCAGGGAATTTCATTTTCCAGATTTGGTGGCAACCATGGTAAACCACATGAATGGAGATGTTACATTTGTGAGGAATTTGAGATTTGACTGTTGATTCTTATGTAAAAGTTCGCGAGAAACACGATGTGGCCACTTTTTTTCTCTGAAATCAACTCCCAAGTTAAAAAAAACTCTCAAGTTGGGGCCAAAATGGAGGGGATATCCCACGCTATCCTGAGAGTTCACCTCTACATCAAGACGAACTCTCCAAGTAAAGATAGGGGGCAAATACATCGACAGGGCTGCCACTTTATTTGGGGACTCTAAAACTGAAAACGTAGAGGCGGGTGGATAGTCTGACGTGCTAAGTAAGAACGCAGAATGAGCCATCAGGCGTTGCCGTATTCTATAATTCACGAAATTTCAGGAAAATTGTGAATTTTTATCCTCCAATTGTAAAAAAGATTACGTTCGTAGTTTGATCCAGAAAGTCTGAAAATACCAAGGGAAATATTCACAACTATCTTCAAAAATAAATATTTTCAAAGGAGACATTTGGCAACATTCGAATGCTTATACGGCGTTTTCTTCACTTAGCACGGCAGTAGTGTACACCTGGAAACGCGGTGATGTACAATTTAGCAGGCGCAGTGTAGACAATTTGCACATCGGACCGTAGGTGAAACGGTGTAGCGTTTGAAGTATCTACACGATGTTGAAGGCGCTATGTCGGGTGCGCGCTATGGATTGCCCGTGGTAATCCGAGTCGCGACGTAAGTGGATTGAAAGTGCATCACTTTAGCTGGAATCTTCGAAAGTGCTTTGAATTTTTTGAAAAATATATAAACTACAGCTGCCACACTAATTCTTGTGCATGTAACTGCAGCTGCGCTTATTTTATTTGTCAAAAGTACCTCAATCGTGGAAATTTTGCTGCAGAAATCACTTCAATCGCAGTGTGTAATAGTGCGCACGGGTAATGGAGATGTTGCATGTGTGAGGAATTTCCGATTTGACCGTTGATTCTTATGTAAAAGTTGGCAATAAACACGATAGTGCCACTGGTTTTCTCTGAAGTCATTTCCCAAGCTCAAAAAAGCTCTCAAATTGAGGCCAAAATGGAGGGAATATCCCGCACTGGTAAGAAAAACCTCTTGGACCAATGCCGCGGTGCATTGACTTAAGAGAACAGTTTCTTGTCGCCGGATTTATGAGTCTTGAACTCTTGTTTCAAGCGGATTTTGCATTAATTCAAGCGGATTTTGCATTGAAACAAGAGTCCAGACTCTTAAATTCGGCGACAAGAAACTGCACTCTTGAACCAAGAGGTTTTTTTTACCGGTGTGCACGCTATCCTGAGAGTCCACCTCTACATCAAGACGAACTCTCCATGCAAAGATAGGGAGCAAATACATTAGTAGTGATGCCGTGTTTTCAGTTTTAGAGTCCCGAAATAAAGTGGCAGCCCTGTCAATGTATTTGCTCCCTATCTTTGCATGGAGAGTTTGTCTTGTCTTGATGTAGACGTGGACTCTCAGGATAGCGTGGGATATCCCCTCCAGTTTGGCCTCAACTTGAGAGCTTTTTTTGAGCTTGGGACTTGATTTCAGGGAAAACCAGTGGCACCATCGTCTTTCTCGCGAACTTTTACATAAGAATCAATAGTCAAATCGCAAATTCCTCACACATGCAACATCTCCATTCTCGCAAGAAAAGGAGTTTTTTGAGGAACGACACTTAATACGGCCCTTAGTTTCGTCAAAAAATGTCCTCTTGCTTTTTTGATCCTCAAAGATAAACTCCTTTGAACATATTCCTTCCAAGAGCTAAGGTTTTTCTTCCCCTAGTAGCAGAGCAAATTTTTGATTGTCTTAAAAAAGTATAAAAAAACATATCTGTTATTTAAATGGTAGTTTTATATAAAAAACGTGAACATTTTTATATAACCATTGTATAAAAAAGTCATAATTTCGTGAGCTTTTCGCAAACATACTAAAAAATCTTCGAATTCGCGAAAAGCTCACGAAAATGATGATCTCTTTCTTTATATACATAGGCTGTCCCAAAAAGAAGTGGACTGATGCTGTAATTTCCGAACTGATCATTGCAGCGATCTTTTCTTGGTCGCGTTTTAAAGATCAACTCAATACCTATCGATTAGGACCAAGATCATCAAAATCGGTCAAAAATTGACCGAGTTATGACGTTTTCCGTGAGAGGAGTAAAAATTCAGCCTACCGTTTTTTGAAGAAAAAATCATACCGAGAGTTACGCGTGTCAAGCTTCATCTCCACTGTAACTTCTCTCCCGTAATGTTTTCCTTCATCAGTGATACAATATGACTAAAAACCTGTTGGTAACAGTTCGGTAACCTGTTGGTAACAGGGAGGACCGGGGAGACTCGCGCAGAATTCGGCGACAACTTCGCCCGCCAGCGACAGTTTTCGAGTGCGCGCGCTCAGTGCAGTGGCAATTATTTTGTTAGTGCCGTTTTCATTCGTTTGTTCATTGTGAAAGAACAGACAATTTCACCGTCCTTTTCCATAATCCCGAAAAAACGAATGAAAACGGCACTAACAAATTGCCACTGCACTGAGCGCGCGCACTCGAAAACTGTCGCTGGCGGGCGAAGTTGTCGCCGAATTCTGCGCGAGTCTCCCCGGTCCTCCCTGTTACCAACAGGTTACCGAACTGTTACCAACAGGTTTTTAGTCATATTGTATCACTGATGAAGGAAAACATTACGGGAGAGAAGTTACAGTGGAGATGAAGCTTGACACGCGTAACTCTCGGTATGATTTTTTCTTCAAAAAACGGTAGGCTGAATTTTTACTCCTCTCACGGAAAACGTCATAACTCGGTCAATTTTTGACCGATTTTGATGATCTTGGTCCTAATCGATAGGTATTGAGTTGATCTTTAAAACGCGACCAAGAAAAGATCGCTGCAATGATCAGTTCGGAAATTACAGCATCAGTCCACTTCTTTTTGGGACAGCCTTAGTTACATAAAAATGTTCACTTTTAACACTTTCGTATGCATGCATTATATACAAAGAATTAAGTTTCGTACATAATCTTTATCCTTTCCTTCTATGGTTCTGCTACTAGGGTCGCGTGGGCGGTCAGAATTTAGGAACTACGCCCGGCGTTATTGATAGAACATCATCTCTGGCTGAGAGAATAGAATTCGTGAGAACGAAAAATTAACCAGTGTTTAATATTAATAAGGCTCTGTAGTGGCATAGTCTCAATTAAGTTGACTCATTTCTTTTAGCTCTCGGAGAGGAGCTTCGATTCCGAATCACGTCTGCATAGTAATTATGTCAATTTACATAGACTTCAATCGATCGCCCTTTCTCAATAGCCTGCTCTACTGCTCTTTCCATTGAGCCTGGTCAAGGCAGCATATTCCGTTCCGCGCGGTTTCGATGCTCACTCCATTTTTCATAGAGCTCTACCACCTCTGTTCCTTTCGTCTTTTATAAATATTCATACCGTCAAAAATTATTTTTGTCCTTCTTACATCTCTTGACGCTGAAAAAAAAGAGTTACGGTCTATATATAGACATAACGTCCGTTCCGGGCTGAGAGGCCAAAAGTTCCGGGTGCTACGCCCGGCACTTTCGGCCTCTGATCTCGGAACGCAGACGGTATGTCTATTTAGCCCGTAAGTACGGTTTCCTAGGCCGAATTTTTTTTCCAGTGTAGTTCATGGTGTTAAAAACCTAGGAAACCCGAAAATACCAGGATTCATTAAGGTATGAACAATTTTCGAGAAACTTGGGAATTCGCTATTAAAAACCGGGAATTATACCCCAATCTTCTCAAAGGTCGTTCGGCACTACTGAATTACTTAGAAGAGGGAGGACCCATAAATTTGCTTGAAACTGCGGAGCATAACGTAGTTTTTTCTCGGAGAATCTGTGGAAATTGCGTGGAAACCACGGATTTTTAGTGCCAATTTTCTTCAAAAAAATATCAGGAAATATTTTGAAAATTTCAAGAAATTTGAAAATTTAAAAATTCGAGAGAACTGTTCTTGGTGGATATCGTGTGGGTCTGGCTGTAACATTCTTGGGGGTGCTGTTACGTTTTTGGGGGCTGTTACTCTGTGCTCTCTGTGGGTGGGGCCCCCTCTAACTAACCGAATGTCCTCATCTTCATGGGTTTTCCAAGTTTTGGGGGCCCCTAAAAAGACCTCACGAGGCCCCCTGGGCTACTCGTTAGAATTCCTGGGGTGCTGCAACACCCTATCATCCCTGGCCAGACCGCTGGAAAAATGAAAATTTGAATCGATCGACAAGCGAAAATTCGATCAATTCACCGTCGACGCGCATTCTTAATTAAAATTGTCAGTTGAGTTGTTTTCGATCGGTTTACGTTTGTAGTTTTTGATAAATTTATCTGGCCAAAACTGTTCTCACCATCTTTGCAGTAGAGTGTTCTCTGACCATGCATGCAACAACTGATCTGATGAGCCACTAATCTGATTTTTACACGCTTTTTTGTCATCAATCTGTGGAATTTTCCTTAGTTTTTAACCCAGGCACGAGTCACATCCGGCCTTTGTTGTGCATGGCCGTAGCTTCTCTGTTTGCATAATCGGCCACATGTGTTTCACAGTTTCTGATAAATTTGTTTCATTATGCAAATCTTGATTTATTCCAAAACTGAATGGAACGTCTTTGCTTGAATGCTTGATGCTTGACCCCTTACCGGATCTCGGCATTAGTCAAACGCAGCGAACTAATATTCGCATCAAAAATGTTTTAGACCCGCAGAGTGATTCTCCTTAAATTTTGCACCCAAAAACTGCCAAGACCTTACATATGTACTATAAGTCGCTTTCTGATCAGAAACAGCCTGACTTTTGGAAAATTGTTGAAAATTTTTTTGGAAAAAACGATAATTTTACTGATACGAGCAGATATTTTTCAGCGATATCAAGAGAATACTGTCGTGTTAGTAGAATTTTAACTAAAAAGCAGGGCGGATACAGAATGGTGGTCGTATTTCGTACCCGCTGAACGTCACACAGTATCGGGTACATGGGCCGGCTCAACCTCGGATTGCACGGCAAAACCTGTACCCTCCTGATGTCACAACGCGTCAAGATGGCAGCCAAAATCGAAATGTGACCACCATTCTTTTTCCGCCTTGACTAAAAAGGGATTTCCGAAAAATAATTTTTATAGCAGTTTTTGAAAAGTTCCCTTCAAAGGTCATTGCCATTACCCAAGTAGCAATCGCAATCTCTTTCAACATTTTCATTGCTTTGTGCTGCTTCGGACAGTAGGTGTACGTAAGAGATTTGCATGAAAGCCACGCTCATGTTCTTTTTTTCTCTGCTGTTTTATTGGCTTCATGTCTAGCCGACATTAGACGGTATTTTATTGTTCGGAGACATCGAGGGATTGGCACATCCGGGCCTTGGTAAAAATTGGCAGTAGAATCTGTGTTCCAAAATACCATAGACCTACAGCCGGCTGTAAGATTTCCAATAGCTTCTGCTACACAATTTCTCATAGCCTTTTATAGCCGATGGCGATTAAGCAACAGCCAGGCGATAAAGTGTATGCTAAACGTTACTAATTACGGATGCTAGGACTTAGTGAGTTTATGGAATACTACTCTCTTTTTGGGCCGTAGTATCTTGATTTATTTTGCGAGGAAAGCTCCGTACTTTTGATGGATGCCTGCCATTACTAATATATTAGAGCGCCTTCAGTTTCGTATGCTACTGTGCAATACCTCTGGTGTGAAATAGTTGCTTCAAGCGCCGTGGCAGGCGGGCAGCCAGCGCGAAACACGCATTGGCGCCTACGAACCTAGCAGGGATACTTCACGCGTTGCGCAATGCGTGAAGTATCCACTTAGGTTTGTGGGCGCCAGTGCGCCGCCGCGCCGCTCCGCTTTGCGTTAGGCTCTAATATTTAATCTGGCGGAGTCAGCATTATTCAGCTCATGATTTTGAAATGTTTGCACATCCTGTATGGATTATTCTCATTCTCATTGATGAAAAAAAAGATGTATTAAAGGAAAATATAATATGTGTTTCGTAAATATTAAGGTGGTTCCGTATCAAACTTAATGATGTCCAAAGCACACGAATTTCTACACAATTTCTTATAGCCTTCTATAATCGATGGCGAAAAAGCAACAGCCAGGCGATAAAGTGTAAAGCCCGGCGATAGGAACTATAGCCCGGCTGCATAATTTTTTATCGCTTCGTATAGCCCGGCCGTATGATTTTCTCCGCATTCTACAGCCAGCTATATGATTTTCTGTAGCCTTCTTTAGCTGGCTATAATAATTCCTATGTTATTTTGAAACGCAGCTCTTATCGCCAATTTTTACCAGGGCAGGGGGCTTTTCAAATTTTCGCAGGTATTAAGGCCGAGTAGAATCTGTTTCTGCAGATCTACTCATCAGTTCCGTGAAAATTTGACGCTGCTACCGGGATTCGAACAAGGGACCTATTGACTCAGAGTCAGGCCACGTTCATGTTTTACAATAAAATTTTTCGCGATTAATGGCTTATAGGTACTGTACTTTGATCTGTTTCAGTTATCGCAACAGCGAAGGACCCACTGCCCGGATGGATCAACAATTACTACGGACCAACAGGTGTTGTGGCTGGTGCCGGAGTTGGGCTCCTGCGAACACTCCACGCTGACGGAGATTGTGTTGCTGACATCGTCCCCGTTGACTACGTCATCAACGCCATCATCGCTGCCGGTTGGGATATCGGCCTGTCTTTGTAAGTCCGTACAGCTCATCGAGTTTACTCTCTCCACCGTCTAATCGAAGAGAGCTGTAACGCCGAAATTGATTATCTTTCAAAATTTGATGAAGGGAAAATCGGGAAATGTCAGAGAATTTTAAAAAGTCAGGGAAAACCTGAAAATGTCAGGGAAAATGACGATCGTGTAAGGACACTGGAAAAAAACAAATTGGATCTAGAGTCAAGACTCTTGAAAACATTGACAAGAAAAAATACTCTTGATTCCATCGCATTTTTGCTTGGATCAAAACGAAATTCGCTTAAATTAAGAGGCTTGGTTCTTGATTCAAGCAAAAATCCGATTGAATCAAGAGTACTTTTTCTTGTCGATGTTTTTAAGAGTTTGGACTCTAGATCCAATGTGTTTTTCTTTTTCCAGTGGAATTTCTTTTTTTAATTTATCTTTATTAGCTTTCTAGAGTAGATTTGACGTTTAGAACAACAAATTTTGCCTGAAAACTATTTCAAATTACGTCTTTTTGGCCATATAATATTAGTTCAATTGCCCAAAAGCGTCAGGAAGATCAGAGAAATGTCAGGGAATTCCAGTTTCTAAATTTTGTGGCAACTCTGAATTAAATAACATGACGAATTCAGCAGAAACAGCAAAATTTTTAATAACCGTGTGAAAAAACGAGAGACGTGAGGCTGAGGATGCAGTAAGTGCGTAAATATTGACGTCGTCCCAGACAAATTAGTAGTAAGTCCACACTCGCTTGCGGGAGACCTGTAAGAAGCTACTTGGAAAAAATATTCCGGGACATCTGGACATTTTTGCACGGAATTTTCAGGAAGTATCCCTAGAAGGGTAAAGAATCTCCCAAAATGCAGTTCAGTTGATCCCAATTAAATTAGTCCCATTGCTTAGCCGTGGGGAAAATGGGTAATAGGCAGAGATACTTGTTCGGGTAGATCCACATTCCACAATCGCAATATTCGTGTTGTTGGTTGACGCAGACGAAAAGGTGCTGTATGAAAATTTGCATTTCTCACAATAGAAGGCGCGTCGTTAAACGTAACCAAAAGTCCCAAGATTTTGTGTTGTTTAGTTTTCTGTCAAAGAAATAAAGTATGACAGAATATTAGGCAACGCGAAATGCTTTTAGGTTGATTCTGATTAAATTCGTCCAATTACTGAAAGCTGAGGGAAAAATGGGAAATCCGTCCCTGATTAAGATACGTCCTAGAGAAGTTCCGCAATCGCATTATTTCTGCTTTCGATTGATGCAGATTAAAAAGTGCTGTATACAAATTTGCGTTTCTTACAATAGAAGGCACTTTGTTCAGCGCGACCAGAAGTTTCGAGGTGTCGCTTCAGATTTCTGTCACCAAGAAGAAGAATGGCTGAATATTGGTGGCGTGAAATGCAGTTACGTTGCTTCTGATTAAAGTCGTCGTTGAAAAAATGGGAAATCCGTCCCTGGCTAAGATACATGTTTGGGTAGATCTACAGTCGCAATATTTCTGCAATTGATTAATGCAGATGAAAAGGTGCTGTGTGAACATTTGCATTTTTCAGAATTGAAGGCGCTCCTTAAAACTCGTGTCGTTTTGATTTGTTCCAGCAAACCGCGTGAGGACCCCTTAACAAGGAAATCCTCAGACCTGGAAAAACTGTTGCAAATACCGGACATCGCGAAAACGGCCGACGAAACCTCGGAACTGGAAGTGACGGAGCAAACTTTATTGGAAGACCTCACCCCCGGAAAGAAACAAGATTCGTCGATCCCAGTCTACAACTTTGTCTCCTCCAATCAGAACAAACTCACATGGAGGAAATACATGGACTTGAGTGCAGTTGCAGCCCCTGAGGTTCCTTCAAAAATGGCGGTTAGTATATTCCCTGGTTTCTTTAAAAAAAGAAAAGCTTAGAACCTCGCTTTGAACTGAACCGTGTTAAACAGAAAGGTAGCAAGCAACTTGTCTTTTACTCGGGGAATTTAATTTCTCACATGAAAACGATGTGCAGAGTTTTGTGCAAATTCCAGTAAATTTTCTGTATAGTAGGAAGTGAATTCCTTATAATTTTTAAAGGAATCCGCACAAATGTTCTCTCGTAAATAATTAAATTGATGAGTCAAATTTAGCCAAAGCCGATGTAGCTTGGTTCCTTTTTGCTAAGCGTGGTCCAATTATAGAGAATTTTTCATCATATTTGAAACTCTTATTGTATTGCCTTCCTTAAAGTTTGCATTCTCCTTTTCTTGCTTTGCTGGGGCAGTTTCTTCCTCAGGAACAACAACTGATAAAACTTTTTTTTGAAACAAAACTCAAAAAATCCTCTGGGGAGGGGGGGGGGAGCAGTCTCGTAGAAAAGTGTCAAAATTTAGATGAAAGAAAAATTTTTTGGGGAGGAATCTTTGCAAACATCCAAAATTTTCAAAAAGTAAAATTCCAATAAAAAAGCTCTGAGAAAACTCTTAACATATCTGATGCAGTCTTTGATTGCAAAAAATTTGAATGGCCTTTTCGCATTGATACACAATTTTTTTTCAATTGACAAAAGCGACCATTTCCGTTTATTCAGTTTCCAATTTTTATTGAAATTATTTCTCCTTCCAGGTTTGGACTTACTCCTTGACTCTCAATAAATATAAATACATGGACCTACTCTACGCATTTTTCCTACATATGATCCCGGCGCTTATTGTGGATGGCTGCTCAATGTTAATCGGCAAAAAACCTAGGTTAGCTCCTGAACATTGTTTACTCTCAACCTTTGATTTCAGACCAAATCTTCTTATTTTCCCGTGTCTTTTATATCGTCTAAAATCGGAGCATTTCATTGATGTGATCATTTTTTTAAAAAAAGGCTTGCTACATCTATTTGACATAAAAGCAGTTGTGTTGCTAAACTTCTGAGAATTTGGTATATTTCACTATGCATTGAAACTGAGTGTATTTTGAAAAGCTTTTCTAGAATCTCTATCCTAAAGGCAGTCGAATATAACTCTCTGGCGGTAACATTAATAATTCAAAAGCTAAAATTACTTTCAATGTGAATTATTAACGGTTGTTTTCAATTCGCCTTCAACTGCGTTTGAGGCAATTGTTATTTCCGCTATGTCATGCATGCTGATTTCAGCTCATTACCTACTTGACTCTCTGAAGGCGTTTTATGTGCGCAGCGCCAAGCGTACCTGTTGGAGAATTACAGAAATTACAAACTTTACAAGTGTATGATGCACTCATCAAGTTAGAATTTCAGTTTGCATGAAATCGCAAATTTTAATGAAGTTTGCATGCCCACAGTTTTTGAGGGAGAGAAGAGAGGGTTCTGAGTAGCTTAGAGAGCCCAAGACTGTTACTCGCTAATTCTCAACACTTTGTGTGAATATTTTACCCCATCATCTGAGTAATTTGGAAATTTTTTGCTTATCATACGCAGGCTACTACAGGCTTACAAGAAAATCCACAACTTCTCCTCAGTTATTTCGTATTTTAGCACGAAAGAATGGAAATTCGAGGATGATAATGTGGCGCAGTTATGGAACAAGTTGAACGATAAAGACAAAGACGTCTTCTTCTTCAGTTTGAAAAATTTAGACTGGAAGGAATACTTCTATCATTACATACGAGGGATACGAGTCTACCTGATTCGCGATCCGCTAGAATCTATTCCTGAAGGGCAGAAGAAGAGACTCAAGTAAGTTTCCTTGATATCAGATTCGCTTTAATTGCCAACAAATTCTTTCCTCAGGTTTTTATTTCCTTTTCCTACGAGCATAGACAACTGTTAAATTAGGACTCTAAAAATATGTCAAAAAATTGTTTGAGATGTACAAGTTATGAAACCTCTTTGCTCTTTTTTTTGGGTGAAATTTGGGTAAAATTCACATAAAAATAATGGGGAGAATACTTGGCATTTTTGTAAATTCTATAAATATTTCATATTGATACCAAAAAAAGAATTAACCGTAAAATGTATACTTAATTCATTTAATTTTGGTTAAAATTTACTGTAAATTGATTGTAGAAGCTCAAGGTGGCATTATACGCATAAAAGAACAAAAAGGGTTTCCCAAGTCGGATTTTGTGCCTTTTTTGAACAGCCAATGCTACGGGGATCTTCTTTTTATGTAAATTCTTTAACAACATTTTGACACCTAAACTTGAAAGATACGTGTCTTTGATTTTAGCATTGTAAATATCCCTTTTTGTTTTATTTTTACAAAAGAAAACTTCCCTATCAAGAATTTTACTTTTAATTTTCTATAAATTTTCTTCACAAATTGAAAAAATCTGCAGAAATTTTTAAAGTGATGTTGTAGTCACAAGCAGACCCTTTACATTATTGGGTACACATTTTCCAACCTCAGCCAGCAATTATAATTTTTTTTTCATTGCATGTATTAATCTCATGAGATCTGATTTTCAACTCCGTAAATCTAGGATATTAAATCAAGATTTTTGCAAATTTTCATTCGACTCTGTCAAATTAAGTAACAAAAATGCATGTTTTAGAATATTCAAGATAATTAAAGTTACCTTTCTGAATATGATGGCGTTAAATAACGGATTTCAATGTCAAATATTTTTTTCTGAGAGGTTTACTTTTACATGCTTTGCAAAGTTAAGCAACAAAATTACAGTGAAAACCTCTATGAGCTTGCAAGTTCCTCTTGCATTACAAGAGCAATATCACACTCATTTTCTACTGACCGCAAGTAATAATTCCTAATTTTTATTCTTCATTTTTCTGCAGGTTCATGATAGCTCATTATGCGCTGGTGTCGCTCTTCTATCTACTCTGCTCTTACGTCTTGTACATAGCTCTTCAGAGTGCCCAGTCCTCCATGATGAGGCACCTAGTTCAAAGTTCCTGATGACCTGGCATTAATATCTTTATTTAGACGATAATGTGCAAATGTGATCACAATAAATCGAGTTTGAATGTCCGATTGTCTGCTTGACGTACAAATATGAGATCTGGAAACCCAGTTAGCCTTTTAGTGGATGAGAATGATTGATTATGTCTGTTGTATTTATTTTCATTTAATTTTCCGGAATTTACCTAGTCGATAAGTTAATTTATTTATTTTGTAATGAATTTTGTTATAAGCTTAGTTATGATAATGTCATGTCGATGAGATTAAAACACTGTGTAATACAATAAAAATTATTGATGATTAAGCTACGTTTTCAACTTATTAAACCATGGCTAATGATATCTAAATTTTAAGCTATAAAAAATGGCTTGATTCTCTTCAAACAAATAAAATAGGAGCAGAGACTTTTAAACAATACAAACGTGATACAAGGTTTGGGAGTTTCACCATTGATTTGTTAATAAAAAGTCTTCAGAAATTCAATGAGTATGTACGTATTTAATGAGAAAATAAAATGGACCTGTTGGTCAACAGTTCACATGTGAACATTTCTCTACAGTTACATTGTACATCATCAAATATTGTGTTCTGGATGGTATGTAAGAAAAACGTGCAGTTATCAGAGAGCAAGGTAGTCGTTAATGGAATCTTTCAAGAATGTACGCGTGACATAAATTACATCCTTTTTTACGCTAAAAATATTTGGTCCTACACTTTATGAAATCCAAAATAAATTCTTCACGACAGGTACTGAAGTCTTTCTAAATACCTATTTATCATATAGATTTATTGTCTTTTCAAAAATCTAGCTCTAAACATTGGGAAATTTTTAATGAAAAGCATAAATCTTTCGTCTAACTTACTTAATTCATTATTGTCCTTACTCCTTTTTAGGAAATTTGGGTTTCATCGATTTTCCTATCTAGCAAAAATTCTCTAAGTAAGCACTTCTTTTCTTCTAATTACCGATTTATTTTTGTAATATCGATCAGAGATCATTTATTGGTAAAACATGTACAGGATGACCCAACATTTTGTATCATCCAGGTAAATTTTTAAAGACTGGTGAGTCATCAAAATTCATAAGACTTGGAGGTCTAACAACACAGTTCGAACAGAGCATGTCTACCGCAACATAAAATTAAAACCGGCCGATTAAAAATACCATAAACAAAGTATTTGGCTAACTCAGTATAAAAAGATAATATGTATAAAAATCTTCATCGATGCCTGGATGCTCGAACAAAGGGGAAATGATTACGCAATAACTTGATTAATTAAAAACAAAGAGCAGCATTATTTGGCTCTTTATACCTTACTTGATAATTAATAGCTAAACTAAAATGGAAAAAGGTTTCGACAGGATGTACTCAAAGGGGGCAAAGTTTTAAGTACGAACATGACAGTAATGCAAAAGATGTATACACTTGAAAAAATCATTTACAGAGCATATTTTTAGGGATATTAATGAAATGTTGAGGGCCAAACGAGACTTTATTGTAGTTGAGCGATGGAATTATCGCAGCTAAGTTAGCGTTAGAAAACAAAAACTAAAACACCAAATTGAATTTAAAAATAAAGACTGTAATTCATCACATATTGGCTTGATCTTGCATTTCAATAGTGGAACAGCATAAACGTGCATCTCAGTTTGCAACACTGCAGATTGCATGTGATAATTTATTTTTAAAATTGTAAACTTCCTTGGTTAATATGCTCTATCAGAGGAAAATTCTGTGTAAATTTCAAGCCATAGTATTGATTTTGTTCTCTTTTGGAAAAATAAATACGAGCAAGAATTTAGAAACATTGCAAACGAAATACATGTTTTTACAGTTTCACCATCAATTTGGTGATCATTTGATAAGAGTAGACAAGTTGATAGTGTTATAAGTAAAAACTACAGAAGTTCCATGGAAAATAATGTGTTTTTACAACCAATCCTTCATCTGCTCCTCTGCGAATGTTTCTTTCAGAAAATTTCACAGTCAGAAAGAACTTGAAGAGAAGAGAACATGGATAAAATTAATGGTATCTCAGTCTTTAAAATATAAAATAAAATTAACAGAATTAAATTTCAAAACGAAAAGAGGCTTGTGAGTTCATAAACCTAACCAATGCTTAATTAGCTTATACAGGGAGGAAGAGATATTATGCTTAAAATGCTCCGTACAGAATGATATCAAAAATTTTACAAACAGAATAAATTATTAGATCAAAGCTTGATGCAAATAATAAATGAGGCATTCTTCGGAGGAATGTGAGATGCCACTAATTTAACATTCAAAGAAAAACGTACTTAGAAGTTAAAAATTTTCCCCCTAAAAAATTACGCCAAAGTACAGAGAAAAAATCAAAGACCCACGGACCAACTTAAGATTCCAAATTGTCTCAGCGCACTGAATTTGAGAAAATGAGAAAAACTAAAAACACATTGTCGCCTTTGGTAGAACACTACGCAATCTGTAAAAATATTTTTTATTCATTTCAGTACCCGCAAGTATGGTATATACAAAAAATTAAGCCCATATCACGTCTTCTAGAAGAATGCCTCAATTAGATAATCATTTGACCAAAAAGTAACCAAGAAATTATAACAGACGGAAGCTTGGTACAAAAAATTGATTAAAATTGAATTTACAAAAGATTGATTGAAAATGTGAGAATTCATGCATTGAAAGTATTTTCTATACTTGAACATCGACATTTTTGAGCAGATAAAAAGAGAACAATGTATTTTTATAATTACCTCTTTTTGGCATTTCTCCCTGGAAGTGCCCTTAAAATTTTTAAAATACAAAAAGGGTAGAGCGAAAATTTTAAAAAGAAGTTGAATGCATAAAATTAAATACATGCTCTCAAGAATGCGTCTTTTGTGGACTTCAGCTGAATGCGCTAATATTTTGCAAAGATTGTAATGAGAAGCGGTTTTCAAATTTTGCTCATCGCCCAATACTCTTTATGCGTCATTTTTTTGTAAATGACAACTCCTTTTCCCACTCCAGCTAAAGTTTACAAATAGACCCTTAGTGAGTCTTCAATTGCCCTACATCTGGATCGAGGTAGGTGATAAAATATTTACACAAATATATGAGAATGGTTAGAAATAACACTAAAAATTATCATACAGTTATCACTTCATGTACAATTACTTTGTTGCGTTTACCATGAAAAAAAGAAAGAAAAAAACCATGGAAAAATGGCTTGTTTGTATTCATCCAGTAGTTTTTAAGACAAAAAATATGTAATATTGTTCAGCTCACTTTAACTATACAACAAAATGGTAAGTACACTTTAGTGGTTAATTTAAAAAAATGCAGCTTAAAAAAATGAGGGGATGCTTACAATAATTCAGTAACCGAGAAAGTGAAAATGATGGCAATAGAGAACAGATGTAAAGGAAAGAAGAAGAGAAAGATGAAAATTTGTGGGTAAAATTCATACATTAAATAAGTTTTTTTTAAAAAAAGAATGATAAAAAGGTAAGTTCAGATAGTTTTTACAATAATTTAAATATGGTAAAGCATCCCATATAGCAACTTCATTGAAGATAAGATTGGGCCCTTGAAAAATATACTGTAATAAAATAGCAAGCAGATGATTTATGATTAGTTTTCAGAGTCTCCGAAAATTTAAAAAGTTATTAAATAAGCACTGGTTTTTGAGTCTAGGTTAAGTTTCCAAAATTTGAGACAGGAGTAAGTGACTAAAATAGTAAATTCATAAAAATAAAAGATAAAAATTCCAGAAGACATGGGTAGACTTGAGAAACTACTGTCCATGAAAAATCGCAAAATCAAGGTTGCCTGATTTCCTGACGATAATCAGGAAATTAGATTATGAAAATCAGCTTATGAAAGAAAAAATCCATTAAAGAAACAATTTGACAGATTGTTTCTTTCATGAGCTGTTATTAAAAAATCGTAAATTCATTGCTCTGAGTGGTCTTCCTTTAAATCTGCCCTCAACAAGAAGAATATCAGAAAGAGGAGTAATTAGAGATGGAAAAGGAGTGAGGTTTTTAAAACGTAAGATCTCTTCAAGCATCAAACCTGATGATATGCACTACCTTAAAATATAATAAAAAGCCTAAAATTACAAAGTATCAAAAACAAAGGTACGTATAGAAATAACATTGAGGAGCAGAGTTCGTATCAGCACTCGACTGAGCGGAGACTTTACGCACATCCCTGGAACTCACATCCGCATAGAAGTACAAAGGAGTAGCTCAAAACAAAGCTCTACATCTGTAAAAACATAGAAATGTTTTAGAATTAACATTTTAGGATTAGGTTCATGGAATCACACTAAGCTGCAGGGTATTGTTTGTACTGAAATAATCTCAGCGCAACGGAAAAATTGCATTTCCACTCAAACTTTTGAATAGTAAACAGAGGACATGATTCTCTCGACACGGCTTGACTTCGTGACTGACAAATGACAAGGTTTTGAGCAAAAATTCAGACAAGCTTCTTCTCACAAAAAATGACACTATCAATAGGCCAATTACTGAAATCAAACACAAATTTCCACAGCTGGACTTGATTCAGGTTTTGATTTACTGCCAAATTTCGTTAAAATAAAACGAAATTCCCTCTGGGTGACAGTATGCCTAAAACATTTGGTCTCCACGCACAGTGCAAGAATGATAGTAATTAGAACAAGATTTTACAAATTATATATATTTATTTGTTTTGTGAGGAAAAAAAACACTGAGAAGTGGCCCGAACACCTATTTTGTTTTGTTTTTATATGAACTCGAATAACTTTACCACAGTTTCGGTACAGCAATTAAGACCACATCCAAAGTTCTCGACCAAACTTTCAAAGGGATCCATGGTCGCAAGTCATAAAGCCTCAGAGTTTAACGAGACCTAGTTGAATAAGAGAAACGTGATTGTACAGCTCTGCTGATCAGACTAGACCCCCCTCAACAGGTTCGAAAGCCTATTCTTGAACCGAATTATCGACTCGTTGATCAGCAGCAATGAGGTGCCTTCATCTAGTCAATTATTCCACTGAAAAAGGGCTCATGATTCCATTATAAGTCATCTGATTAACGTGACTGTCAAATCACAAAGCTCCATCCCATCTTAGTCTAGTCTTGTCCACCAGACAAACTGACAAACCCATGCACTAGACTCAAAATTGTTTTCTTTCTAAATTTCTATTTGCAGTTTCTCTAGATGTTTCCATTTTGTGTCGCATTATAGCTTCAACTTTTTCTGAGAGTTTTCCATTTCTTCCTTCAATAAATCTACAGTCCAGCCTATTAGCTGATCAGCCTAGCCAGGTAGAAGCGAAACTTGGCTACATTTGAAAGTGACACCTGTCACAAATAGAGTTCAAATAGAGTTCCAAGTTTCCAATAGAGTAAAACAACGAAAGTGCATGTTACGTACCTCTGTATTGATTTCAAGTGGAGATGAAAAATTCTGGGATTGTATGAGGGAACATCAAACAATCGGTAGGGTTAGGTTTGAGACAAGCCATGGGCAGACCAAAGCAAATACTATTCCAGCACAGATTCCTGAGACTAAACACGCTGCACCGAACATGCCAGCTGTTGAGCTGTAGCGTGGTTCCACCATCCTGATGAAAAGAAACAAGATATCAGAGATTGAAAATTCATTCAAGGCACTCGGGACTTTCACACGTTTTGATTATGGCATTCAATGCATAGATTAGTAAATATTTTACAAGAGGAGAGCATTGGTTGATTTAATGAACACCGAAGGTTGCATTCTAGAGTTCAATTTTTTGTAGAAACAGATTTAGTTGAGATTGTGGAGCATGACATAGGTAGCCAGTGGAGTTAGATGATTTGCCAAAATAAGTAATTCTGAGAATATTTCGATACATTTTTTAATCTTCACCTTGTTTGTACACTAAATAGACTCCTTGTCTAGAATAATAATCTCTGAAAATATTCTTATTGACAACCAGGTCTGCTAATATTTTATGTTCCCCTCCTCTTCCTCTTACGAACCTTCGGAGAAACTGGAAATTAAATCAGGGGAGCGTCATCTAAAAATTCAATAATCGTAGATCATAATTGGTCCATACCTTCTCTTGTTGCTTCATAGTGTACGTATGAACATTCTGAAGCAAAAGTCACTCAAACTTTTGAAACAGGTAAAAACGCAATGTATAAATGCGTAAAATTTGAGAAAATAAAGTCAACTCACCAAAAAAAAAAGAAACAAAACGAATGAATAAATAAATAAAAATTTAAGCTGACTTGTCTTGGGACGTCTGTTCTCTTTCCTCTGAGCAGTTTCCATTGAAGAAAGGAACAGGGGCCCTAAAACGCGTCGGATTTTGGTTTGTTTGTTTTGCAAGTTGAGTTTGATAATTTCTCTTCTTAATGTTTGACATTGACTTTTTGTCTCTGTTTCAGAGAGTTTGATACCTTGGTGTTTTTTATTTTATCAGCTTCTGTTGTACAAATTTAAGACTTTATTTTTAGGTCACTCTGATACCCAGGCAGACCTAATACGTGCTCTATCCGAATCATACCCTAAACTTCATTCATATATTTTTAGATGGCTGTAGGCTCCTCAACTGGAACAAAAGCAAATCGACTACTAAAAGAAGAAGAGGAATTTTTGCGTTAGGTTGGTGTGAATCACAATTACAACAAACTTAACTGTGAAAGTTTATTTTTAAGTAATATATTGTATAGTAAGATAAAGTAAGATAAAACTCACCTGGGACAGTACATCATTGCTAAAGAACTATAGTATCCTCCTGAAAGACCTAAGATGACACCTAGGGCTAAAACAATCCAATCGTTCATGAACAAAACTCCAAGGGTCCTGTGGACTCCCCTTGGCTGGTAGTTGCACAGAAGAAATGCTGGAAGAAGCAGTCCTCGCAACAAAACTGGGATTATCAGTCCTTTTGGGCCTGGCTGAAAATTCAAGATCAAATATTGATTAAATTAGAATGATCGAATGACTTCAGTTCTTTGAAATGGGAAAGCCTGGTCTTAGAATTAAATTTGGGTAGTGTTGAGGAAGAAAGCGCCACATGACATTTTGAAAAAAAATTAGTTAGGGATAGTTTAGAGTTTGTCCGGGAGCTTAATTTCTCTTACCTAATATTTGGACGGCGTTGAGCAGAAAAGAACCAAGCCTTATCGGATATTCTCACATTTAATCGGGCAATTTAATTTTTTACATGAAAACGGTTGTGCGGATTTTTGTGTAAACTCAAGTGGATTTTTGCGTAGTACAAAGCAAATTCCCTGAAATTTTCAAAGATCCGCAAGAAAGTTCTCTTGTAAAAAATTAAACTGCCCATTTAAATTTGGCATTAACTGATGTGGCTTGGTTCTTTTCTGCTAAATGCGGTCTATTCAAAAGTCTAGAAAGAATATTTGGTGCAGAACAATTTCAGTTATTCTAATTACGCCTTGCAGCAAAAAAGAAATTTCAAATATAATGATCTCCATCGTGTACTTCATGTCTTTTGGCTCGGTTTGAATTTACAATTCGCTGATCTAGGCCCAATCTGGGTTGAAAGGTATCATAACAAATATTACAACACAATACATCGCAACGAAAACATCATAATTGATTCTGCTGTACTTCCTCTTATTAATTGTCTATACTTTCCTCTCTGCTACCAACTTCTCACATTAAAATTTATGAGGGTACTACAATAATTCATACTCAATTGGAGTTTAAGATTAGATTAGGTTTAATTCTGACTCTCACTTAATTACCTAGAAACACTAGTTGTGTGATCAATCACATATTAGAAGGGGAAGAGTTCGGTGACTTCACTATTTGAAATCACACAATATTTTTTCACAGCCATATTCTGTTTACTGGTAATATCATCACAACATTTTAGTATCTAAAGCTTGTGTAAGCGAGCTGATTTTGGGAAGAAGAATAATTATATTGAGAAGTTGTATTGATTGCCTCTGATATGAGGAGTCAGGTAGAAGAGCAAGGCTATATGGTTTCCTTGCAGAACTCATTTCCGCATTGGGAATATGCTCAACTATTTTCACACTAAATGTTACAACCATAGGTACCTCAAAAATTGAGTGAAATAAATGTTTTTTCCTGAGAAAAGGTATCCTTACCGTAACAGGAATTAAGAACTTGGAACATAGTAGAGGCCATTTTGCCACTCTTTCCATTTTTCCACCTCCAAAGTATTATGTGTTCAAGGTAAAGGATAGTCCGTGAAAAATACTTTTGAAAATATAGAATCCACAATTATTATAGAAAATGATAACACTTACCCAAACAAACCAAGATGAGAACAGAGAACCCAACATAGCTGTGGCGTTGAAAGTGAGGAAGCACATAACACTAACGTAGTAGGTGGGTCCAATATTGAAGGTAGACTCTTTGATATCTGAAAGAATAGACGCTCACAATTAATTAAGTAAAATAATGAGTTAAAAATGAGTGTGAGAGGGAGAGAGCAAGTCTGAGGGCTCCAATTGAAAATGGACTGTGAATTTCATTTTAAATGAAAATGTTACTTTGAAAAGCCAACATTTGACAGAAGCTGAATTTTATCTTCGTAGAAGAAGTTCTTTAATTTTTAATCCTCGTCATCAAATAAATTAATTAGAATGAATAAGAACAGGATACAATATCTTCTATCTTTGATATTCCAGCACATGAAATCAGCTCCACTTTTTTCTTTAGCGATAAATATTTCTAAGATGAGTGCTGTAACAGACACATTCTTATCGAACTTAAAATCTTACGTGGCATTAGATCAAATATTTTGATTGAAACCGTAACAGAATAACTTTACTAACATTATTCAAGCAAATGGTTTAAGAGTCTGAATCTATACTTCTGTTTTTTTTATGTTCACCTCACAAAGAACATTATTTATTTTTGATGATCATTAAAATTGAAAGATCTCTTTACTGGAGCTACAAGGGTACGGAAAGTTCCAAGGTCCAAGAAGGTTGAAGTTCACTTGGCCTTTTCTCATTTTAAACCAAAATTCTTACTTCATCTTTAAGACTCAAAAAAAGGTTAAAAAGAGAAAACTTTTCCTCTCAAAAAAATTGAACTTTTTTATCATTGAAATACTACAGTAATTTATTGAAAAATTTGACAGTGTTTTCCTGTGTTTTCTATTCTTACAGGCATTTGGTCATTTCTCAGAATCGGCACATAACTGGGCTGGTCGCATTGTTGAGAAGTTTCTGCACCCCTGTGGAACTTTAATGAATGATCTCCCATGAATAACAAATTTTTTTTTAAGCCATTTAATGATAGAGATGCTTTCAAAGATTAAAGTATCCATCTTGAGATTGACTGAAACATACCTGAATGTACAGCAGGGAAAATAGCTAAGGTGATGAAGAAAATGAAAAACACATTGAAAAGTTGAGGAGAGCACTGTTTGAAAATTTTCCAATACGGTGGCCTGGAGTTGCCTTCTGCAGCTTTGGCTTGAATAGCTTTCTGATTCAATAGCTCGTGATACCTATAAAACCTCTGTTCAACAGAAAAAAAAACAGAGAGAACAATTAAATAATGTCCACAAGAAAAGAAATCTGAATGAAACGAAAGGAAAAGGGAAAAATTATCAGTGAAGAAAGTTTTGCTGAGTTGAATCAAAGCATCATATTTCAATATTTCCACTAAAAACTCTCTCCTATATCATACAATATAAGTTACGAATAATTTAGCTCATTTTTGTTTCATTGGAGGGTGTAAAATTGCTTCATAATCCGACATTTTGTGCTACAAACACGACAGATTAAAATGGTGTGGACCCAGCACCATTTCTCCATCTTACTAAAATTTTATACAGCCTTTTCTTAAATTATATATTTTGAACTGGAACCATTCAACCTTGCAGGTGGTAGATGGTTGATGAAGAGATTCTTAAGTGTCAGTTGCCCTATGAGCTCTGATACGACAAGAACATGTGGCACTTGGGTGTTGCAAAATGCCAGAATGCACTGTGGGAGCGGCATACATATATATAAATATCAAACCACCATAGTTTCAGATTATTTTGCCATTTTTAGTTCGTAAATGATTGTAGAAATCTACTAACTAATAAAAGTATGATGCACTTACATTTAATGGAAGAGCAAAATAAGTGTCAAAGCACATCAAAAGAACGAAGAGTGCAGTGATGAAGTAGTAAATTGCAGCTGTCCTGTCATTTGGGGCCATGGCTGTCGAAACAATTGAAATAATGGAGGTGAAAGTTCCACTGATGTTCTGGAAAAAAGGAATCATCAAAATTAGTGAAAAATTTAGTGCAGTCTTTGATAAATGAGAGTCTGTAAGTAATCGACATTTGATGCACCTTACTGATGAATAAAAAACCGTAATGCGCATTCATAGATGAAAAACAATTCATTCCGTGAGATGAACTAAAATTTACAGGCTGAAATAAAATGTACTCATAGACCATCTAGATAAATTAATGAGAGAATTTGGCTGCTTTAACAACCAGTGACAGCCGAAAAAAATGAGAGGATTTTCGATTGTTCTATTGTGTTTGTGCACTTGACTATCAAAATTTTGTGCTTGTCGATTGGACAAAATAAAACTAGGGTAGAACTGAGTAAAAAGATTGGCTGAATTGCCATGCTCCCTTTTGTCATGCTTTCATCAGGTTTGATAATTGACTGGTTCTCCATCATTGAGGAGTTACTGTGGGCTTGTCAAGTACCTGGCCTAAAAAGGGCGCAACAGGAAGCACAAGTGACTGATAGGAGATGAAACCGACCAATCGCCTGACTCTAGTTCACCTTAGTTTTGTTTTATCAAATCAATAATTCAACCGTTGGCCTGCAACTTCAATCACGATTTTTCATTTCTTCTCATTGATTAGTTCACTTTAGACCTTCTTAAGGTGATTGGATGGAGGCCATTTTTTGTGTCAAAGCGATGTGCGATATATTGCATCGATTTGTTCCATAATTTCAGCTACTTGTCATTTTTTTCGAATTTTGAGATCGCACTTCTGTTGTCATGAGACTTAAGAACTCATATACTAAATTTGACAAAGAAATTCAACGTAATAAAGGCGTGGTTTTTTTAGAGGGAAAATATCGCATTCGAAGGCAGTTTCGATATCAGTATCGAATGCGATATTTTTCCTCTAAAAAAACCACGTATTTAAAACGTTGAATATCTTTGTCAAATTTGGTACATGAGTTCTTAAGTCTCATGACAACAGAAAAGCGATCTCAGAATTCGAAAAAAATGACAAGTAACTGAAATTATGGAACAAATCGATGCGATATATCGCACATCGCTTTGACACAAAAAATGGCCTCCATCGAATCACCTTAAGTAAAATATAAATCCTGAAGGTTTTTACTTTTTCCTTTTTTTTTATAAAAAAATTCCTCTACAGAATTTCCCCCCAAAACAACTTATGAGATTAGAGCTTTTTCGAAACCTCCAGTTATCTTGAGAACCTGACAATTTTAATGAGAGTCAAAATTTATGAGAAAAAAATAACTTCAGACTGCTCAGAGTAATAGTGACTGCGTCCTTTAAAAAAATCCCATCACCTCTCAAAACAAAAAATGTTATGATGAGATAAATTTATTCACTCACTGAGCCAAGAATAACTGCGGAAGTATATTTAAGAGGTAGTTTTGCAGCCATTCCATAAACGGTGTTCTGATAGATACCATTTGCCACTGAAACAAAACAAGAGTAATGTATAAGATACGCTGAAAAATTAGAACAAAGCAAAATCTACAAATTAATCAACATGAAAAGGAAACTCAAGTTGGAATGTAATTCAGAGGACTGAGAGATAAAAGTTAGGATGAGAGACCTTATGAAACCTGTCACTTGCAGGACTAGACTGTCAGGTGGAAAACACGATGACACAACCACAATGATCCTAGTATTTAAACTCTGAGAAGAAAGGAATCTAAAAGTTCTCTTCAATAGATCTTAGATTAATTTATTTCTTTACATCAGGCAAGGCTGATGTCAGATCCTTCATCTACCTTCAGGAAAAAGGACCAATTAATCTTTAAAATTCTAAGAATAAAATATGAATTCCGTAACTCCTGACGAGAGGAGAATTTTAAAAAGAAATCTCTGTTTGACACATCTTGTATTCTTTATCTTTTATCAAATTAGCCAAAAATTTGAGCGGATCTTACACTCATCAGAATGTAAGAAGCATCTATACAAATGCATAGAATATTTCATAAATCAAATGTGATTTTATCATTAGGGTATAAACCTCCATCCAAGAAAACGGAACTTGAAAAAAAATCTTTTTGACGGCTCTCGGAATATTTTACTCGCTTACATTAACTTTTGATCTATATAGATGTTTAAACTGAGTTCTGTAAAACTGAGTGACTAAAAAAAATATATAACGTGAGGCCATAAATCCACTTTCTTTCTACAGAGAGGCACAGCGTACGCCGTACATGTTCCATCATATTTTTTATAATAAGATCTTGTTTTAGAGCCTGTTTTAGAACAACTATCCCTGAAATTGAAAATTTTCAGGCGCTATAATCTCTCATTTTACTGATCATTTCTTACATTTTCCTGGACATTTTTTTAATGTATCTACTGAAACTGTGACATGAAAACTAAATAAACTAAAGTTACAAATTAAAGAAGAATGTTGCAATTCATACTTGTTCTTCCGGATTTTCTTTTGTGATTTTCTTAATGCACTGATCATATCAACCAAACCATGGCCATTGTTAGGCAACTAAAATACGCACTCTCATAGTACAAAAATGCATTTGCTCCTTCGAAAAATCCACAGGAAAGCTGAAAACCTCGTTAGAAACACTTGAAACAAACCTCAAAAGAAATCTGCAAAAAATTACTACTCTATACGATTCAGCCAGGTCATGCAACTTACTGACTAGTGTCTGTGTTTTTCCAATAAAAGTGACCACGTTTATGTACCTTGCGAGTGTGTATTTTATAGTCGCCTAATGATGACTATAGATAGACCGCAATGGTCAATGCATAAAGAAAGTTACAAAAGAAAAAAATAGGAAGAATAAGTGAAAATGAAGAAATTCTAACGATGACCCCTGATCAAGCTAAACCCTATTCAAGAATTCAGAGGAGGTAAATATTAAATTAGACAAATGATTTCGAGAAACAATTGATCCACTTACTGTTTAGAACAACTACAGAGCCGATTGTGATCCAAAAGAAGAACCCTGGCCAGGTACTTGAGTCGAGCATTGCGAGGACAACAGTTAAGAAAAATGCTAAAACTTCCGTGAGTATACTCCATACAATACGAGTTGTGAGATTACCCCTGGAAAAATAATTTGAAGATTTTAGATGATATAACGTAAAATTCTTTAACATAGCTTCAAATGGGGGAAAATCGATAATCGATCATTCACCTTTTGCCACTGTTAAGAATGTTTTCATGAAAGTTCAGCCTCTGTTTGTTGATTCATGAGCGAGAGAGGCTTTCCTGAGGTAGAACAGGTAACTGTTGAAGGAAAAACCAGTATTACGCATTTCATTTAATTCATTCAATTTAATTTTTCAGACTTTTTCAACTTTTAGCAAATTTTTCCACAGTTTGTACTGACTCCTCCTTCTGCAGATGTTTATTTGAAATAGGTTATGAACACAAAAAGGATTTTAAATTTTTCAGTGGGGCTTGGAGTAAAACAATTCATCAAACATATACAAACCTCATGATCAGAAATGGTAGAGAACTCGAAGCATATAGAAATTAAAGGAAGTATATGAAGGAATTTGTGCTCACCCGATAACAACAAATATGTTCAACCAGTTGAAGAAAAAATTAGGTACTTGAGATGCAATGCCTATGTAGGGCATGAAATTATCAGCATAATCAGACTTAACATCTGTGTTGTTTGCACTTAATTTATACTCTATAAAATACTGAAACAGAAAAACAGAAAATTATTAGTATTGTGAGTGAAGGTGAACAGACTAGAAATAGACAAAAAATTCGAATTTGGAGGGCACTTCTCAATTATGCTCTTCTCAAGGAATTTAAAAAAATTAAAATTAAGTACGAAAGGTGAAACCTTTCAATCGCCAACTAGAAGACAGACCAGATCTATCCTCTGGCCATCTGATGAATGGGAAACAGTGGGGGGGGGGGAGGGGGAATCTACGGTCAAATGTTCCTCAAAGGTAGAAAATTTCACAAAAATTCTTGAGATAGACTTTTTAGGGTTATGGTGTCGTGATTCCTTCCTAAGCTATAACTCTAGGTATCTTCTTCCCTCGAGCAGTTGGTTTTTCTTCTGGATATTGCTTCATTAAAACTGAAAGACAAACAGGATTTCCAATCCTGAGATGTACTATTCTACATTGCCGAACCATCGGATAGATGGAAAAGAGTAATAATTTTGAGAAATTAAGGAAATTCTTAATTTAAAAAATAGTTTCCTCTTTGCACCGCAGTGTGAAGTAAAATATAGTGGTAACATTGATGTTTGTAGCTATCAATTTGTAGAATCCCTTCAGTTGTTCGGTCATTATTCAGAAGAGGAGATCTATCTGCAGAAGAAAATTTGGAAAATTACAGCTTCTGAAAGCTATTATATCTTGATCTCTGAGACTTCTTTTGCAAGATAATCCCTTTTTCTTAAAACAAATTATATTCCTTAGATTTGAGCTGTAAGGTGGAAAGAATGCACTTTTCGGTTTTGATGTTTATCAAAGTTTCCTTTTACATTTTTCTTAACCGATTCATTCTGAGAAATGAATATTTCAAGACTCAGTCACTGACAAGAACCCTTTTCTCATCCAACTTTTCATATTGTCATCTTTAGAGGGACACAAGAGAGTAAGAACTAAAAACATGAGTGAAATAAGGCAAAAATATTTTTAAAAAACTAAGAAGGCAAGACAATTCGAGGCGTTACAAGCTTATTTTTACTGCAATAAATAGTAAAAATTGTCCAACGAGAAAGACGTCCTTTCCTTAAAGTGTTTCTGATAATTTACCCTTGTTTTACCCATCGTTTCAGTTCATATTTTGACGTGTTCATATTTTAAGTCAACGTGATTTCCGCATCAATGTTATCTTTTCAAGTACAGGAAAATAGATATTGAAAAAATGGAAAGAGACATTAGACATTAAAAATAGAAACAATTAAACTTACATTTTTGGCAGTAATAAACATGTTCCACGGCATCAATGTTCCAATACCATGAAGTACTAAGACTAAATATACTAATTTACACCTGAAACAAAAATCAAATGATTGGCATGAGAAAAGGACTTAACAAATACAATTTAAATTTAATCAAATATTGTTTGCCTCGGTGCGTTACGACCCGATACACGGTCGTAAGATCGATCATCGTGAAATTGATGTTTTAGCACGGCAGAAGTAACCGCCAAGTCATTTGGTACGTCTAAGCCTCCGCCCGCGCCTTCAATTTCAACGGATAGGCAATTTCTCGACTTTGGAGCACGTTGATTTGTATCAATTTCGCCGTGCTGTTGTACGAATTGAACAGAAACGAAGGCACTTTTTGCGACGCAATTCATTTAAAGCCCAGAAAAATACGTGCGCGAGAGTAAAATCAAACTATTTCTTAAATTCTAAAGTCTCGCGATTAAATTTTGACGAGATCTAGAAAATCAGATGCGTTGCTATGCGTTAAGGTAGCGTTAAGTTATTTGATACGTCTAAGCCTCCGCACTCGCCTTCAATTTCAACGGATAGGCAATTTCTCAACTTAGAAGCACGTTGATTTGTATCCATGTCGCCGTGCTACTTTAAACATAAAACACTGACAAGGGCATCTTTTGGCGACAGTCTAACAGGCCAATTTTTCGGAGGCTTAGTTAAAGTTAAATAGTTTAACTTTGAAAATAAACCCTTTCAAAGGACTGGAATGATTTTCACTGCAAAAGCTTAGGAAGTGCGACAGAAAAAAAATTATGAGTTTGACAAACTAAAAGGTAGGTATAGAACTAACTTAAAATTTCCTAAATCTGTGATATATTTTCTTTAAATTTTGCAGTTCTGGCATAAGGAAAATGTATAAATCCCATGTCAGGATTAATTTTTGCAGTTAAACGGTAGAATTTTACATTTGAATTATATAAAAATTGTCCTTTTCATGATGCTACATTCAAGGTGTTCTTAAAGTTCAGTTTAAATTCTGAGTCCATAAGGAAGTGTTGAATCGTAAAAGCTTCCACCTGTCGCCAAGAGGCCAGTGGAGGGTCTCTTGTCTCTAGAAAGGCGACGTTCTGACGCAATCTGTATCATGGAAATCTACAAGATTCGACCGTAAAAAAGCGATTAGTCGACACGCGCCACTGAAATGCATTTCCTGACGCCTGGCTTTTACGTGGTAGCTTCAACAACCCCGTTCAGCAAGTTTGCAACCGTCGTTGGAATCTGACCAATGGTCAGGCTGGCCATCTCGTCTGGCACACCTGAGGATCGGACGGTGGAGACCGGCCAATGCAGGCCTATCTGATTACCATTTACGTCTCACCGGACGGGCGTTATGGGGACCCACAGCGTCGTACTGCCGTGCTAAGGAAGAACGCCGTATGAGCCTCCAGAGGTTGCCGAATTTCCTTCGACAAATCAGGAATTTTTGGAACATTTTTTTAAAAAGTTTCCTTCAAATTTTTCCGGATATTATGCTCGTGATTTTATCTAAATTGCATGCAAACTTGAAGGACAAATGGATTGCAAGCATTTTGCATAAAGGAACCAAGAGGATTCCAATGTTGCTAAGATTGTGCAACTTTTTTTACCTCGCGAATAGAAAATGATCATCTAAACAAGTTTTATCTATACTCTCATTAAACTATGATTTTAAGACGAAAATTACCTTCGTAAAAATTCCCTTCATGATTTCTGTGATTTTTTTTGCAAAGAATTTAAGTTGCCCAATCTGAGGAACATTGGAATGCTCTTGGTTCCTTTTTGCAAAATTCAATCCAAATATTCATGACTTTCTTCAGAAATAAATATTTTCTGAGAGGAAATTTGGCAACGTTAGAATGTTTATACGGCGTTCTTCCTCAGCACGGCAGTAATGCCTTTCATGCATTGCCAACTTGGGGCTCACTTCGTTGCATTCAACGCCATCCCTCGGGCTGTTGAAAATAAAATGGTATCAAAAGCTAATTATCGTATCTCAGTGATGGACTGTGTTTCACACGCGTTGCAGCAAGTTTATTGAGAGCTGGGGGGCTACCCTGCTTGTTGAGGGAAAACATCGTATGAACATATGGATGTTGTCAAGTTTAATTGGATGAAAAGAATCATTTTTGAGAGATGTGACGGCGACAAGTTTTCTGGGATTTCAAATATCCTATATTCACAGGTCAGGGCAGGGTGTCTACTACAACAGGTCGGTCAAAAATCAGTACTTTTACAGTAACTCCATTTGACAAATTTCAAAAAATTTAAAAAATTTGGACTCCTCGCTTAAAATGCGACAAAAATGACAAAAAATTAACAAAATTCCGGACCCTCTTGCGGAATTTTCGCACTTTTTCAGGATTTCCGGACCGCCCTTAGAGAATCCGTACTATTCCCGAACTTTCCGGACTTGTGGATATCTCGACAGACATTGTGAACAAGAAAATGCCCGACTCTCTCCCACCATAATTTTTCGTAAAAATTCTCTTTGCGAGAAATTTAAGTCGCGAGCTGTGTTAAAATTTAAAAAAATGGATGCTTTTGGCTGGAGGAAAAAATTTCAGATTTCGCAGCGAAATGTCCTTACTTTTCAGCGTTAAGCAGAGTTCCCTGACTTTTCCAGGTTTCTCTTTACCTTTTAGAAACATGTTACCCTGAGTCGCAAGTATTTTACCCTGCAATTGTGAGACAGTTTTAATTACAATATGAATAATAAAATACCCTGAAAACTTTAGAAAAAAGTAAAAGTATTCCAGAAAAGTTGTGCAAAATTGGAGGGAACTTGGCAACGTACGAGCGAACATATGACGTTTTTCCTTAACACGGCGCGGCAGTATCAGGATGGGGTCCGATGGTATGATGTCATCGTCAGTCACGTGAGATGCAATGTTTAAGTCGAACCTGGTGAGCGGTCAGTGTAAGTTCTCAGCCACACGCAAACCATTAAACACCGTGCTAAGGAAAAACGCCGTATGAGCCTTCAGACGTTGCGAAATTTTCGTCGACAAATCATGAATTTCCGGTAAAATATGTCAATGTTACCGGCAAACCCCGTTTTTCAGGCAGACCTAGGTCTGCCTAGGTAGACCTAGGTCTGCCAAGCACCTCGTTNATCCTAGGTTTGCCAAACGAGGTGCTTGGCAGACCTAGGTTTGCCTAGGCAGACCTAGGTCTGCCTGAAAAACGGGGTTTGCCGGTAACATCAATAATTTTCTTCTGGTTTTTCAGAGAATTTCGTGTGTAATTTTATCTAAAAAGTCTGACAATTTCAAGGTAAAATATGCATCAATTTCATTCAAAATGAATACATATTCAGGAGAGATTTGGCAACTCTCGAATGTTCATACGACGTACTTCCTTGGCTCGGCAGTATACATTGCGTTCTTGGCATGGACGATAGTGAATGGTCCTGATGGTAGTGAGAACCACGTGCAATAAGTCTGTTAACATTTTTCACTAAAGCGAACAGTAGTGCTGATCATTATACAAATTGGCTTAGAAATTACGCTCAGTGCATCAGGAAGGTCTGCAGATCACATCTAAAATTACAATGTGCGTAAGAAATTGCAGCATTTTTGATCTTCACCTTTCAAAAACTCTACAACAGCAAAAGCCGTATACTTTTCGAGTTTTGAAACCATTTTTTGAATTGTAAAACCTGGGAAATTCGTCTGTACGTAGTAAATCATACCTTCGCCATGATATAATTGATAAGTCGATAAGCCTAAAACTGCGGACGTTTCTTAAGCAGATTGTGAAGTTAGGAAGGAACAGGCTATTCTATATGTGGACCGCATCAAGCAGAAAGAAAAAAAGCCACATTAGATAATGCAAAATTTAATTGGGCACTTAATTTTTTACATGAAAACGGTTGTGTGGATTTTTGCGCAAATTTCGGTGATTTTTCTTCATAGTACATACAAGGCAAATTCCTTAAAATTTTATTGGAAATCGCACAAAAGTTCTCAAAGTGTGAAAAATTAAATTGCCCAATTAAAAATGGCAATAGTAGATGTGGCTTGGTTCTTTTCTGCTAAACGCAGTCCATGTCTGATATACTTACCTACTACGATTTTTGAGTCTTTTTTCCACAGCAAAACCCCGATTTTTCTCCAGCAAAAGTTTCCGTCAAACTCATTAAATCTTGCAATGGTTTCATTCGAAATCTGATAGGACTGAAATCATTTGGACGGCGGAAACAAACGCGGATCAGGTGCACAAAAAGCTGCCTACGCTTTTAAGCGATTTTACTCGAAATCTGATCCTTCCGACTCACATCGCGGTGAGAAGGTTTTCTGACAAATAAGCAAGCCAAGAGATTTCATTGCAGACATACTGGAATTCAGAACATCCGACACGGCTTCATATAAAAAACGAAAATATATTCGTGAAGCTTTCCAACCGAACAGCATTAGACCCATGACAATGTTGCGTCGCTATAGCAATAAGTTTAAGCTGATCGTATTCCATTAAACTCTTCTTGCAGTTGAGGCGGTTACGAAAAGAGCTCATACGCGAAACCTTTGTTTCATACGAGCACAAATACTACCTTGCTAGGGAAAAATGTCGTATGAGCCTTCAGGCGTTGCCAAATTTTCTCTGAGAAAACGCTAATTCTCTGGAAAATTTATCAATATTTTGGCTCCAATTTTTTAGATAATTTTGTCCGCAATTTCACCTAAAGTTCCTGAAAATTTCAAGGGAAAATATTCATAAGTTTCTTCAAAAATAAACATTTGATTGAGGGAAATTTGGCAACTCTCGAATGTTCATACGACGTTCTTCCTTGCACAAAGACGCCGTATGATCCTTCAGGTGTTACCAATTTTTCCCAGAAAAATCATGAATTTTCGGGAAAATTGGTAGACATTTTTCTCAAAATTGTTCGGAGAATTTTGTTCGTAGTTTGATCTACACATCTCCTGCTTTTACCGTCAAGGACTATATTCCCGACAAAATCTCAAATTCGGATTCTCGACCAGCAATAGAACTCATCGAAAATCGCTTCAAGTATTAAACATTTTACTTCCATGAGCTATACGGTATCGTGTCTCGTAGACGGTCGCACACTGGCAAAAAAAACACATTGGAACTAGAGTCCAGACTCTTAAAAACATCGACAAGAAAAAGGACTTTTGATTCAATCAGATTGAAGCTTACATCAAGAGGAAATCCGCTCAAATTAAGAGGCTTGGTTCTCGATTTAAGCTTAAATCTGATTGAATCAAGAGTATTTTTTCTTGTCGATGTTTTTAAGAGGCTGGACTCTAGATCCAATGTGGTTTTTTTCCAGTGCATCTATATAAAAGGATCAATCTAAACAAATGTGTACAATTCGACATCACGAGCTACCGAGGGAAGACGAATGAATTAGATCTATTATAAAAAAGTGGGTTCGACCTTGCACTAATAAAATAACAAAACCATCAAACTGATTTGTTGTACTGCTTCTTACTTTTCAATCGTTCGGACAAGTCTATTAATTTGTTCGGCGAAAGAGCGATATGGTAGACGGACGACATTCGAAGAACAATTCAACCGGGCTTTCAGCTTTAATCAAAGGGAGGATTGGAGGCTTGTGGTTTTTGAGTCAGTCAGTTTTTCGCACAGTCAGACCGCTTTAAGCAGAAAGGAACCAAGTTATACATTAGCTTTTGCCAAATTTAATCGGCCAATTTAATTATTTACATGAAAAAGGGTTGTGCAGAAATTTGTGCAAATTACAGTGAATTTTCTGCATGCGTCAAAGCAAGTTCCTTGAGTTTTCAAAGGAGTCCGTACAGCCGTTCTCTTAAAGAATTAAATTAAGCTGTTAAATTTAGCAATAGCTGATGCGGCTTGGTGACTTTCTGCTCGACACGGTCCAATTAGTACGGAAGGAGTAAAATTTTAGACTGCTTAGTGATGATCTTTGAGCAAATTCATTTTTCTTTCCAGTTTTAGCCGGGCATTCGAAATTGTGTACAATTTTGCGGACACTGGAAAAAAAGGACACATTGGATCTAGATTCCAGACTCTTGAAAACATTGACAAGAAACAATACTCTTGATTCAATCGGATTTTTGCTTAGATCAAAAGGAAATCCGCTTAAATTAAGAGGCTTGGTTCTTGATTTAAGCTAGATTCTGATTGAATCAAGTGTAATTCTTCTTGTCGATGTTTTTCAGAGTCTGGACTCTAGATCCAATGTGTTTTTTTCCAGTGGAGCATTTTCCTTAGTGATCAGAACATCTCATCCTCCTGAATAACTTAAGTGACATTTCGTTTCCCCAGTGCCATGCCGACATGAATTAATCATTTACAGTCAGACGCTCAAATGTAGGTACGTGAGGAAAAGGGTATAGTAATAGTGGTATTCTGCCGTGCTAAGGAAAAGCGCCTTATGAGCCTTCAGACGTTGCTAGACTTTCTTCGAGATATCATGCATTTTCGGTAAAATGTGTCAATAATTTTCGTCTGATTTTTCAGAGAATTTTGTTCGCAATTGTACCTAAAGCGTCTGAAAATTTAAAGGTAAAATATGCATGAATTTCATAACACATGAATATATAATTAGGGGAGACTTAACAACTCTCAAATGTTCATACGGCGTTTTGCCTTAGCACGGCGGTATTGCACTTTAATTATTTATTCGACAACAAAGAGAGAAGCTGAGAATGGCATTATGTTGGCGGCAAAAGTGCGAGTATAAAGACTAAAAACGAACTGATTTGCGACAACAGGCGACGCTTAAAAATGTAAAGACGGCGTGGGAGGGGAGGTTTATATCTCATCTTTGTGTAGATTCGGAATTTGCGGAATTTAATAAAAAACGTTTTGTAAAAAGGAAAGAATGAGGAGAGTTCGACTAGATTTAATCAGTCATTTTTTTCTAAAATATTGAAAACTCGAGAGCTTTCCGTCATATTTAATTTACGAAAAATCTTCAAAAATCCAGCTAGGCACTTGAGAAAACACCTGATTCGACTAATTGCACTGACGGTAAACAGGAACCAACGCTATTCGCGAAATGCTCCAACTTTCCCGCAAACTTTCCAATTTTTCCTGACTTTCTGTGACTTTCCCGGCTCTCCAGATCGCCGGAAAACCTGCGATGGAAAGGTGCGTTTTTACGACCACTTCACATCCCTGATACTTAACGATTGACGGTCAGAGCCAAAATATTTTTATCGTCGCACAGTGGACCGAGTCAATAGAAGAAGTCTGACAATATCTCAAACAAGTTTAAGAGTGGTTCGTATGATTTTTCGTAAGATTTTTCAACAGAGACACCCTTTGAAATTAAATTTGTGACGAAATAAACATGAAAATTTGAAATTTTAGTCGAAAATTTCATGTCCGACCTCTCCTTTCAGCTCGTTCCACTGTCCAGGTGTCTATTAACACAGGCTGGCCAAAAATCTGTACTTTTAGATTACTTTTTTTGTACATTCCCGAGCAATTCAGTACCTCCTCAACAGAAAAATTCAGTACTTTTTTAATACCTTCAACTGATGAAATTCGAAAAATTTCAAAAATATGCATTTCCCGCTCAAATTGCGACAAAATGAAAAAATTCCCGACTTTCTTGCACAATTTCCGCACTATTTCAGTACTTCCGGACCGCTCTAAAAAATCAGTACTATTTCCAGACTTTCCGGACTTGTAGACATGCTGACTGTGCGTCGGTTCACTACGAGTTTTTATCCTCCAGGAAAGCAATCCAACCTTCAGGGCAGTCTTATTACGAAGGGAACATAAAGATGCTCATAAAAAAATTGGTTACTGTTCCCATCTGAGGGTGCTGTGCCCTAAGCGATCCTCTTCTCTTCTTACGATATCAACGGTTCCTGGACCCTCTTCCCTCTCAGATCAGGAGGCCTTAAAAAAAAAAAAAAAAAAAAAAAAAAAAAAAAAAAAAAAAAAAAACGCAGTCGCAAGACAGATGACGAAAAAAAGGGAGGGGATAAAGAGGGAGAACTCACCTATCATTGGGAGGATTAATTTCTAAGTCGGCCTGATCCATGGTGACGCTTTTGAAGTTGAGCTCATCGTTGGGCAGGTTCTTTTCTTCCCAGGCCGGGGTCAGCTTCACCGGCTCGGCCACCAGCGTCGGCTTCCCCGTCTCAGGGCCTGCTCCTGAAATCAAAATAAAACATAAAATTATACACAGCGTCACAAAAGTAACTGCATCAATCAACATAACATTACAAATGATGGGAATTAATCGTAACAACGAAGTCGCATGTAAAAGTCGCTGGCAGTCAGTAGGGTGTCTCCTGAAATTTCGTGATTTTCTTGAAGAAGAGATAGAATCATTAATATAAACTTCGAAGGATTCAGACTTTCAGTCGATTCCACCTTATTCTATTTCACTCGTGAGGTTGCCAGATTGCGCGATAACGGAGGGTTCTATTGATAAAAAAAACTCAAAAGCACAACTAGGGAAGGAGCGCCTTCAAATACGCTGATACTTTCCGCTTCATCAGAGGGTTAGTATAGTTGCTTATCGAAACCAGACAGAGTTATGCGCATCTTATTAGTGTATTTTTCGAAGAAAATACACTATTTTTATAATATATTTTTTTCAATTTTAAATTTTATATTGAAAATACAGAAGCGTATTTGGTTTGTTTCGACAAGAGCAAAACTTTAGGGATCAATGGTATTCATTATTGCACGATTGAGTGAAGGACCGACAAGTTTTAAGTTTTCGACTACGAGGATTTTTCGGGGAACAGAATGAAGGAGCACTGTCCCACTGAACATTTTCGGCTGAATTCATATTTTTTCACTTTCAAGGTTTTTTTTCCTGCAGTTGGACACTTTCCGAAAGCAAGCGATTCATCGCGGCTGAGCAAAATTTTTGCGAAGTCGTTAAAATTCTTCAATACCCGTTGGGCTCCAAAACAAATACTGGCGTCTACAGTAGAGTTCAGACTAAACAAAATACTTGGTATTTACTTTATTGAGACCGCCCGGTGGGAAAAATCGCGGAGAAAATCCTTCGCACTAATTTTTCGTGGCCCTTTCTTCCATACTTCAGCGCGGAAAGGTGCGATGATTATTCGACACAGCGTAATTTATGTTACTTTCTCTCTCATTCTATTTCCTTCACAGCGAAAATCAACATCGAAAAGAAAACGTGCGAGGTGCATTTCTGGGCGACTGGTAATTTTTGGTTCTGCGCACATTTTCAACCGGAAATAGCGAAACAATTGGTCCGCGTTAGCAGAAAGGAACCAAGACACATCACCTATCACCAAATTTAACTGGGCAGTATAATTTTTTACAAGAGAACGTTTGTGCAGATTCTTTTGACAATTTTCGGGACTTTGCTTCGTACTATGCAGAAAATTCACTGATATGTATACAAAAATCCGCAAGCCGTTTTAGTGTAAGAAATGTAATTTGGCAATAGCTGATGAGGCTTGGTTCCTTTTTGCTTGACGCGGTCCAAATGTACCGAGTCGAATTTCCGAAAAAATTAGTTCAAACTAATTTTGAATTCAAAAGGTTGGAAATTTTCTCCTGCCAAAAATTCTAAGACGGAAAAAAATATTTTGAGCTGGAAATTGTCGTCCGACTCAGTCGTTTACACACTGGAAAAAAACACATTGGATCTAGAGTCCAGACTCTTAGAAACATCGATAGGAAAAAATACTCTTGATTCAATCAGATTTAAGCTTAAATCATGAACCAAGCCTCTTAATTTGAACGGATTTCCTTTTGATTTAAGCTTAAATCTGATTGAATCTAGAGTATTTTTTCTTATTTCAAAGGTCTGGACTCTAGACCCAATGTGTTTCTTTTTTTTCCAAAGCACTGAATTTTATGGACGGAATACACTTTGAACAACCTCTTTTTCTCTATTCAAATTTGATGCTTACGGATTAAACCGTATCAAAAATAAGTCGTTTCAAACAATCGGATGCTTGATATGAGTACTCGGGGGCGCTCGTAACACCCGTTTATTTTCGTAATCTGGCAGCTAGGTGCGATCCCAACCGTGTCCTGCCATGACCGACGCAGTGCGCAATCCGTGCTATGTTGCGGAGGGTCAAGCACACATCAAATACGGTTGCCAAATTTCCCCTCAAAATACAGATTCAGAGGCATTTCTCAGGTGAGAAATAATTTAAAAACATATTTCTCTAACACACGACACTGCTTAAACTTGAAATGCGTCAATCGCGCAGTACAGGTATTGGGAATTATTTCTTCAGGGACTAATGCGAAATTTAAATTGACCCAAGGCTTGCTAAAAAGATTTGCCCAGTGCTCGTTGTATAGGGCCGGTAGGTAGGTGCTTTAGATATATCTCTAAAAATACATCGTAAAAAGAATCAGACATCAAATTGAAAAAAAAAAGAGAAAAAAGAATCGAGTGTTCACGCAGTCGAAGATAGGACAGACATTCGCGTCTCGTTTTTGTCATGGGAACGGAGTTCCCCATGATATTACAATCGTTCCGTTGCTTTCACAATGGGATTCCCTATACCTCTGCGACCTTGAGCGTTTCGCCCAGTCTCCGATTTTTGGTTGATTTTCCGATGTATCAAAAACCGTTGTATTTTTTAGCCAATCATGTCTCTACGTCAAGTTGTGTTGATTTCTAAAATTCGCTTTCAGCGAGTTTTTTTCCACCTTAAGATGTCGTGTCTGACTGGTAAATCTGCGCAGAACCACGAAGTTCCGTTTTTAGGTAAATTCTTTTTTTTGGGAGGTTCTGATTGGTTATTTTTCGCCATCAGTTTTCTGTTCGTTGGTGCAAAAGATCGCCTACCTCGTTGCTCTTGAGAAGCCGCCATTATCCCACCTCAAATTTTAAACATAGATATAAAGAAATAATAACCATCGTACAAGGTGGAAAATTGCTCTGGAGGACCCGTTACGGATATATGAGCCAAAATCAGAACTCGATTGATGGATTTAATCCATGAATACAGAAATATTGCCTCAGCTTACTGCCGCGATCGCAAATGCATGGTGAGATGAACCTTGTGACATATGACAGCATAGGTAAACAATGTCTCACAGAGTAATGCGGTTGATCCGTTGTGTCTTATCACGCCAGTGGCCGAACCGTTGAAATCTCAAGGACGTCTTTTGTGAAGCCCCGCTCAGCGTCCGAGATCACTTAAGTGTTCTCTTTTTCTCCATGCATATCTGAACAGCGAAATAGCTCAACTGGCTGCGTTACCGTTTTGCCTCTGGGAGAGTGACACTTTTTGTGCGAGCGGGGGTTCGAATCTCGCAGGGGACAGTTAATTTTTACTGGTTGTATTGAATGTTTTAGACCAATCATCTAACAATAATTAATACTTGGCAACTTAGGAAGCACATAGGTCCCTTATGATGCGTATTCGGGCATATGTGTAGAGTAAAAATATCATACGTAGGGTGTCCCAAAAGTACCGGGACTGGTTCTGTAACTTCAAAAGTAAGATAGATACAGACATGATTTTGGTCTCATTTTAAAGATCAACTCAATACCTATCGATTAAAACCAAGATCAGCTCAATCGAATAAAAATTGACCGAGTTATGACAATTTGAAATTAGTGAGGAAAGTTTACCCCTACGGTTTTTAGGAAGATTTTTCGCTTACCAGGATTCAAAAAGTTAATATTCGTATCCACTTTCCTCCGAATCTTCCATAACTTCCTTTTGCTTTTCAAAGTACCGTCCATCAAACCGGATGCACTTTTTCATGCGCTCTTGCCACTTATCCAACATTGTTTTCCTGAATTCTTCCTCTGGGATGGAGTTGAAGAAGTTTTGAATTGCATTCTGGATTTCGGTCTTCGATACGAATCTTCGTCCGCGAAGCTCCTTTTTAAGCGTAGGAAACATCCAAAAATCACATGGAGCCAAGTCAGGGCTATAAGGGGGATGAGGGATTGTTTCAACTCCATTTTTACTCATAAATTCACGTGTTAAGCTCGATGTGTGAGGCCGCGCATTGTCTTGATGGAGTATCCACGAAGCTTTCAAGTCCGACCGTTTCCGGGAAATGTGCATTCTCAACTCCTTTAGTACTTTGCAATAATACGCACTGTCAACTGTTGTGTTTGATGGTACAAAATGTTGATAAATGACACCTCGAAAATAAAAAAACACAATAAGCATCACTTTATCGGCCGACTTTTCGATTTACGGCGATGAAGAATCTTCCTTAAAAACCGTAGGCGTAAACTTTCCTCGCTGATTTCAAATTGCCATAACTCGGTCAATTTTTATCCGATTGAGCTGATCTTGGTTTTAATCGATAGGTATTGAGTTGATCTTTAAAATGAAATCAAGATCATGTCTGTATCTATCTTACTTTCGAAGTTACAGAACAAGTCCCGGTGCTTTTGGGACACCTTATGTACACTTTACGCCGAAAAAGCGAACCTGAAACTTAAATGCGTTAACTTCCGAAAACCATATATAATCCAACGAAAATAAATAATTGGTACATAACAGCTTTCTTGTATGCAAAGAAAATAATTAAAAATGTTAAAAAAGAGATGTCAACACAAAATTACATAGCCCCTTCAATTCAGAAGATACTACAAACGAACTGTACCTTAACATTTTCATATCCCAGAAGCTAACGTTCCCATGACGAATATTGCTATCGCTAGCGATTGCAAAATCCAACTTGTTGAGCTTTTCTCTCGAATCTGAGCGAGACCTCATTGACAGCATGAAGCTAAGTATTGCGAGTTAACGCCTAGCGTCATCGCGCCTTCAATTTTGCAGACGCAACACGGACATCCATCAAGCACGAATAGTTGTATCTCTGCGCCGTCATCGATGCGCGTTGAGGTGTCTTTTATTCTTAAAAGGAAAAGTTAAGGTTAAGTTTGCTCGTAATATCCCATAATGTGTCCATATATCAATAATTATTTTGGGGGATAAAAATAGTGTATTTCCTTCAGAAGATACACTAAAAGTTGAAGGTCTTTCAAGCGCCCTAAAGAGCGCAGGTCTAGGTATTTTGGCAAGAGTTGTGTCGTGACAAGAATTTTTTTTTGACAACTACCTCTAGAAATCCGGCAAACAGATCCGACCAGCTTTCCCGTGGGAGTTACTTACGACCATAGATTGAGACGTTGCGAACCTCAACTTAAACATTTTCAAAAATGATTT